GTCTGCCCGGGGAGGTTCTGGCGGGCCCCAGAGTCCCCGCTCGGCGCCTCAGGTCCCTGCTGGGAATGATGGCGGCGGCTCATGCTGTGGTGCGGCTAGGCCTTCTCCACATGAGGAATTTTCAGAGGTGGTTCTCACGCCTCAGGCTTCACCCCTCCCCCGACGGCATGGTGGTATTGTGGCCCAATCCGGCTTTTCTCCCCAAGGTCATCACGTCGGCCTTTAGGTCGAGAGTCATCAGGATTAGGGCTTTCTATCCGCCACCGCATGCCTCCCCCGAGGAGGAGCGGCAGCACCTTCTGTGTCCTATCAGAATGCTGAGGCATTACCTGGCCATGACGGCGTCATTCAGGTTGGGTGGCCAGCTGTTGTGTGTCTGGGCCCCAAGAACAGGGGCGCCCCGCTGTTGGCTCAGCGGCTGGCGCACTGGGTTGCCACGGCTGTGCGGCGGGCGTATCAGACGCAGGGTCTGGCCCTCCCGGTGGGCTTCAGGTCGCATTCCACGCGTGGGATGCGGCCTCTACGGCCCTTCTCAGGGGGGGTGTCGGTCGAGGACGTATGCCGTGCGGTTTCTTGGGCTTCGTCCTCCTCTTTCGTCCGGTCTTATCTTTGGATGTGTCGGACCGGGCGGTGGCCCATTCCGTGCTGAGTGCAGCGGACTGAGTTAGACCGTTAGGTCCCTCCTCTGAGGGGGCCTTCGGTTTACTTTCCGCCCTGATTCAGGAGCTCTTGGGAGAGGCATCCTACAGGTGCGGTACATATATGTGTGTTTTGGTCGGTCTGGTAGTCCACGTCAGGAGCCCTTGGGAGAGGCGTCCTGTGACTACGGATGACCTATATCTGTGTTACGTGGGGGTATCCTTGGTAGGAGTGGCCCTGTAACACGCATTGTTTCTTCTGCCCTGAGTCCTCTCACTTTGTGAGGGTCTTGCTCGGGCGGAGCTCCAATCACCCTTCGCTGGCCTGTTGGGAGTACATTTTCCTACGGCCTCCGCGTTGTGTCCCACTAGCGAAGTCCTAAGGGACGTAGCACCATGACGTAGAATTAATAGTTACTTCATGTAACTTAAGTTCTACGAATAGGTGCGTAGTCCCTTAGCTACGAGCCCATCAGGCCAGCCCGGCTTGGCAGAGTTCAAGAGGGGGTGCGGCCTTGTGCAGGGGCATTTATAGAGAAAGGTGGCTGGTGATTGGAGCAAATTATTTTGATCTCTCTGGCGTGTGACCTGGGGGTCACGAGTGATATCCCACTAGCGAAGTCCTAAGGGACTACGCACCTATTCGTAGAACTTAAGTTACATTAAGTAACTATTAATTATCTATGTTTTGCAGTGTGCACTAATTGTTCTGAGAAATGCACTAACTATTGTGCAAACGTTTAGTGTTGTGAGAACCGCACCAAAGCGACAGAAAAAAAAAAACACCTGTAGTTGCCTTGTTTTTGCCTGTCTGTCCCAGGGCTGCTGTGGCTGGAAGGAATGAATAAAGCGGTGTGACGTGTTTTAGAGTGTCATAAGCAGTGAGTTTGCTATGGAGTTCATATAGTCAATTATCTACCTGTTTATTTGCAGCAATCACTTCTCACTATAGCTCGAGCTGAATCAAGTATTCAACTTTACTTACTTATGTTAGTGCGCCACGCAGTGTAGAAAAGTGGAACTGCAACACAGTTCTCGAACCCTTTTGTTATTGTGAGTATACATAGTTCCCACAGACCAATGAATGTCACATGACCTCCTCGGAGACGCCATCTTTGATGGCACGCTGCTGTGTTTGTGCATTCCATTAAACAGAAGAATGAGAATAAATGTAGATATTCAAACGCAAATTGGAAAAAAAGGGCAACTTTTGAGCAAATAATTGTATATTAATACAATGGCACCACAGTTTAACGTGCTACGGACATGTTTTACATATTTGATCAAATTATGCAGCAAAAATTAACAAGCAATGCAAACATTTCTCAAAGCCTTTTGATTTAATACCAGTTGGAGCTCCATTTAATTATTTTAATTATATTAACAATTAATTTAATTAATGCTAATGCCACACGGACACTCTGGATTGCTGTTATTGTTTATTTCCGCGTTTTTGACCGTATGTTTTGGTGAATGGTGGGCAACTGATTTTTCCAGGCGTAAAGAGCAGTTTATTTTATGACACAGATCTTTTTACAGAAGCAATGCTGTTTGTGAACATTGTTTTAGCCCACCATAGAACTATTATTATCTATTTAATACATTTACGTTGCCCTCGAGAGCCTCGGACGCGACACCGATCCTCCTCATAATAAAGTAATCTAAATAATGAAACTCTCAAGTTACCAGATATCAGCATACACAAGTTAGTACTGAGTAAATTACGTCTGTCAACACATTATAAGATACGATACGCACCTGACACAAAGTGCTCCGAGCATATTCTTGCGTGTTTTGAGGGAGTTTCTTGCCTGTTTATCTTCGCAAGCCATAACCTCCGTGGTTGTTCTGACAAAAGCTTAGTCTTCTCACATTCATGAAGTCTAATGATGGGTATACTGTAAAATCCAAGTTTAACGGAACCTCCGGCACGATTTGAACATCCATTGACCCAGCAGGAGATGACCATTTTCAACTTTATCACGACATTAACACGTTTCAGCTTCTTTTTCTATTGTTTTGCCCACAGCATGCCAATACAAATGGCACCGGGTCGGCAAATCCCCGTATGTAGTGACGTTATGTGGGAACTATGTATATCACATCTTATTTTATTTTTCAAAAAATAAATAAATAAATAAATAAAACAAAACAACAAACATTTGGCATCTTGAGGTTTCTTATAAATGAGATGTTATTCAATCAATGTCAAAATTGAAATTATCCTTCAATAATTACGTATTAATTAATATTAAGATCATACTTTTTATTCTAACAATATAACATCTGAAATGACTGTAGGAGCCGTTGAGCATGTCTGCAGCAAATATGATGCCAGGTTAGATGGCGCACTATAGCCCCCTATTGTGCAAGTCGCTTCCCTGCATTTCATGTTGTACCATAAAATCAAGTATTTTATTTTTAGGGTAACATGCAAACGATATATCATACAACTTAAAAATATTCATCTTAAATTCCGTAATCACAGAGGATATTCCCAGACAAGCAACACCACCGTGAAAATCTCTTATGTAACCAGCCAGTCATAATCAATTTGGTACAGCAGAGGTCCACTGGGTACTTGGCTACACAAGAGAGATTTTATTCATCTAATAATCCATCCTAATGAAACAATGGAAATGAAACTACAGGATTTTAAACCAGGCCTAGTTCTATTAGCACTGTGTTTGGCCTGAGTTGTATTAGTTTGCATTAGGCATATTTAATGTGACTATTTGCCCAGAGCACTGCAGAGTCTGTACTGTTTCCTCCTTATTGGCTTTGATGATGAAGCTCTCAGTCAGGTCAGCATTTCAGGCCTCAGATTATTTCAAAATCAATTATATTGATTTCACATTAGCTACATTTAACAAATGCACTATTTGTGACTAATACATTATATAGAATTACTTATTATGTTACCATTTGGGTAAGATAAGGTGTAATGTTTATGGGTGAGAGGGTTTATAGAGATCACTCCTTTGTCTGAATGGCTTCACAACATATTATCAAAACAGTGATATCACAGAGTTGTAAGTCTGATCCATGGCGAGGCAAGCCATGCTAAAATATAAAGCATGTTAAGAAGAATATGTTTGAGATTGAAATTTAAATCATTCCAGACAAAGCAATAACATAGATGAGTTGATGCAGAACCTCTCCCCCTCCACCATCTCAGAAAAGTTAGGTTATAACTTTATATTTAGGAAGTGCATTGTAATGTGTATTTCCTGTATTCTAGTAGGTGTCTAGGTGATGAGGAAGAGTCAAATTTTATTATTACGAGAGTCAAAACAGAGCGCGTCCAGTGTCACTGCTTCACATCCCTCCTCCTCCTGTGTCCAGAGAGGGGAGGGTCAAACAGCCGCAGGTCGAGCTCAAGACACGGTTTGGGATTGACACATGTTTGAGTGTCCGGCTGAACAGACACGAGCACTTACAGGGAAAGGTAAGTTATTTCTATCATTTTTTTATATTAAGACATATCACTTCCAGCACATAGAACATTTATTCAACTCACTGTACAATAACTTTTAAGAGGTAAGGGCTGCGAGGGTTTTTCCTCGTGAAAATTAATATTTGCTTATTTTCACACAAAGTAAATGTTTTGTTACTTTTCTTAATATGAATACATACATATTCACAAAATGTACAGTGTGCAACCTTTTTGACATTTGTTTGAACTTCATTTTTGGGTTTAGCACCCATGCTTTGAGGACAGGCCACATTCACAGCTAGTTGAAATAAATGTGGAACATTTTTAATTTCAGTTCATGAGAAATATTCATTTAACTGACACTCTTTACTGTTAATATTCATGAGGTCAGAACAGAGGGTAAGTTTGGATTGGCTAAGGATTTCGGTGGATTTCAATGCATCTACTTAAATGTGACCATTGAATGTTAATGTGCAGACTGGCTGTACCAGTGTGTAAAATGAAAACATGTTGAGTAACTTGTCTGCACTGTTTGGTATAACACACTTCTATATTCTTGTCTTGTCTGTGTTGCAGCTTGTACTCAATTCTACAGAGTGCTCATTCTTGGATTGGTAAATAAAAAGGAGCATGCACATGGAAAGACAAGGCACGAGTCAAACCAGAGCGCCAAAGACAGAGGTTCGGACCATGTGACAGTGGGATTGTGGCGACGTAATGCTCTTCAAAAAGACAAATATTTGGTTTGGGAGTTAACAGAAGATGAATGACAGCAAGAGACCTTGAACGATATAACTGATCTGACGTTAGTCAGTATGACCACTGCGCATTGATGAATCTGCTGCGGTCGTGCAATGGCTGGGAACTAATCAGGTTTAAGGATGTAGAGGTGTTTTCTGACACGGGACAGCCTGAGCATCTTCAGTATGGAAGAGCAGACCACGGCTCTGCTCTGGATACATGCTAACAGTACACAGTATGTAAATAGTACAGAGGAGTACAACACCACAGAGGTGACCGAGGACCCTGATAAATACCAGGCCTACATTATTGGCCTCTTCCTGTCATGTCTGTACACTGTCCTGCTGTTCCCCATCGGAATTATTGGGAACATCTTAATCCTAGTAGTTAATTTGAACCACAGAGAGAAGATGACCATCCCAGACCTATACTTTGTAAATCTTGCAGTAGCTGATCTCATCTTGGTAGCAGACTCCCTCATTGAAGTTTTCAACCTGAATGAGAAGTATTATGACTATGCTGTTCTGTGCACCTTCATGTCTCTATTTCTTCAGGTCAACATGTACAGCAGTATCTTCTTCCTCACCTGGATGAGCTTTGACCGCTACGTAGCATTAGCCAGCTCAGTGAGCAGCAGCCCTTTGAGAACTATGCAGCATGCCAAACTGAGCTGTGGTCTGATCTGGATGGTGTCCATCTTGGCCACTCTGCTGCCTTTCACTATAGTGCAGACCCAGCACCGAGGAGAGCTCCATTTCTGCTTTGCTAATGTGTTTGAAATCCAGTGGCTGGAGGTCACTATTGGCTTTTTGGTGCCTTTCTCAATTATTGGCCTATGCTACTCTTTGATTGGTCGAATCCTAATGAAATCCCAGAAGCATGGTGGACTGTGGCCTCGGCGACAGAAGGCATTGCGTATGATTGTGGTGGTAGTGCTGGTGTTCTTCATCTGTTGGCTGCCTGAGAACGTCTTCATTAGTATCCAGTTGCTGCAGGGCACAGCGGACCCTGCCCACAGGACTGACCCTCACTTGTGGCATGACTACCCCCTCACTGGACACATCGTCAACTTAGCTGCCTTTTCCAACAGCTGCCTCAACCCCATCATCTACAGCTTTCTGGGTGAAACTTTCAGGGACAAGTTGAGGCTTTTTGTCAAGCAGAAGGCCGACTGGTCTGTGGTGAATAGCTTCTGCAGAAACAGTTTGAGCCTTCGCATGTCTGTCCGGAGCGACGTGACCCAAGTGTGACCTCTGCAGCTCCATGAACAAAAACAAAGCAACAATTATGTTCTTGATAAATTCATAACAACACAATTAACTGACAACGGTATTTGATACTAATAAAAACTTAAGAGCAAAGTATACAATCTAAATAATTTAAGTGTAGTGTTGTCTGTGGTTAGGTTTTTATATATTGGACACAGCCCGGTAAACGGCAGAGGATTATTATAGATTTGTGAAGCACAGGTGTCTTATTGCCCCATAATATGTCTTGTTAGGATGAGGGTAAGGCAAAGAGCCAAGGGCTGGTGGTGACCAAACAAGGTAAACACATCACTTAGTTGTGAAAGTAAATACATAATAAAGGACAATTTGTCAAATAATTTAGGACTATATTTTAGGTGTAAATGGGAAGGAGAAAGTTTTGTAGAATATTTCCTGAAAACACTCCCAAATCCATATGATGATACAAATCACCTTCAAAATCCATTTCTGAGATTGACTGAAAATGTTATAATAATTTGTTCATAATGTATCTTGCCCAGATGAGACCCAGATGAGAACTTAACCCCAATGGTGGAGGTAATAATTGAATCAAAGAGGATGTATTTCAGGATAGGTTATGCTGAAATTGGTTATTGATGGTAATTGTAAATAGTTTTAAAGTTTGAGGTAAAACAAAGAGCACCTCTTTTTTCCACCTGAGGCAGAAAAATGACATCAAGGTAAGCAAGAAAAGCTTTAGGGAGTGGACAGAGACTGTTCAGAGAAATAGGGGCATGACTTGCTGACACAAAACATTTCAAGGGAAAAAAATACATACAACGTATTTGTAACCAAAATACTATTGGTAATCTTTTGGGGAATGAGGTTTCATTGAATGTCCAATTAAAATAGGGGATCCAGGCAACCTGTTTGGTCAGTGAATGTAATTAGGACTGGATATGGCATGTGTTATGAATAAATTCAATGGAGTGTAGTTAGGGTCTAGATGCTTGAATAATTGATAAGAACTATAATTGCATTTGTACATTTAAAAGGGAAAAAAGGACTGGTCGTCCCAACGTAAAACACCTAGAATAGTCTACAAATAACATGACATACTTAAAATAAATGTAAAGCTTCTGTTTGATGCAACAGACCATTTTTCTTGTGCAAAATACAGGATATTTTGTTTTAACTAACAGCCTATTTCTCATCATTCTGAACTCCAAGAAATGTATGCATAACTTTAAACGCAATTATGTCCATAGACATATCTTATGAAGTTTCATGTAACATCACAACATTCCAACAAGAGTCTCTAGTTTAAAATTGGAAGGCAGTTGAAAAATCTTACCTGGTAACTGTCAAAAGTTAAGTAATTCTTACATGATAACTGTGATAACATTTGTTGTTTATAGATTTCTATGTACTTCCTCGGCCAATTCACATAATACAAAAAACTATCTACATCTTTTTTGTCGGTAAATGTTTTATCCATCATTTTCACATAAAGTTGTCTGTAAGTGGTGACAATATAACAAAAAACATATGAATGATGTTGGCCAGTAGAAAAAACGTTCAGACATAAAAAATAAAATAACATGCGAGTTTGTGAATCTAATCAATATCAAATAATGATCTAAAAAAAAACAAAAAAACATTTGTCTTCGTTTACCATGCAACAACATGCTTTTGGGAGCATTACGGCATATCGACTGGCAAATATTACAGTTATTTCAGAAAAATTATTGAGCGTGAAAATTGTTCACATTTCTTCTATTTACTGTATGATCCATCTGATCTGGAGCGCCCCTTGCATCACTTGCTGCGTGTGAGCGCGTGCACACAGGAGCAACAGATCTGGACGCATGCGCACTTCATTGTTTTGACTGAAAATGCCGTCGGTTTCGAAAACGGCGGCCAATGCTTCTCCTCAAACCGAGAAACCTACCCACTATACGTAAGTAAACCCAGTGACCCTAACAGTATTCGCGATTAGCACAGTGTTTGCTTTTCTGCATTCTCGTTCTTGTGTACGTGTACTGCTTGCATTCCTCAACTCCAGTGTGTGCGTTGAAACATGGTGCTTTTCCTGGCTTTGTGACTGCCTAACCTAACGTTGCATCCACGCTCCGACATTGCTCCAAATGTATCAAACGCAGCCACCCAAAATCACTCGAATGGCTCGCTGGAAGCCATCGGAATGGAATACGTCACTTCAAGTCGTGTTTTGAAATGTCTTTTTTAAATTTTAGATCGACAACTTGGGCTGCTAAATGATTAGCCAGGAACTCGCTAACAGAGACTGCTTGTAAATAGCTCGGCCTTATTTTGAGTTCCCTCTTGCTACGCACTTTTACTGGCGTACGCATAGGCATTTTCAGGCGGCTACGTCATATTCTTTGCGTGAACTTATGTGTGAATCGCGAGCTAACGTTGGTGACCTAAAATATTTAGTTCATTGAGACTGGCTTTGAAGGAACGACACTCGCGCCCGATAAACTTTTGCTCCAAACCTCTAATTGTATCATTTTTATTGTAATCTTTTCGCATCTTATTTATTAATTCATGTGTTTCTTGGTTGTTGCAGATATTTGAAGGAGTTTAGAACAGAGCAGTGCCCCTTGTTCCTTCAGCATAAGTGTACGCAGCACAGACCCTTTACGTGCTTTCATTGGCATTTTCTGAACCAGCGAAGACGGCGGCCCATCAGACGTAGAGACGGGACCTTTAACTACAGCCCTGACGTCTACTGCACTAAATACGATGAGACCACAGGAATCTGCCCCGATGGAGACGAGTAAGTCCCACGCGTGATCATGCCTGTATAGTCACTCCAGTGTTCGGGTGGATGTCGTCATGTTGACTGTGGCTGATGTCACACGTGTTGAATATGTGTGTCATCTTTTGAAGTTTTTTGCAATGGATTCACTTTACATTTTGCAATGAACTGATATGGCTAAATAACATCGGCTTTATGCAACATTGATGAAAACGCACATAAGACATTATACCTATTAATAATTACCCATGCTTCTATATAATAATAGTAATAATAATAATAATGGTAGGATGCTGATTGTGACCAGGTATAAAATGCATTGTATTCAAACCACAATTGAGCATGTAAACAATCAGGCTGCACAGGGCCTTTATGCATGTAGTTCTCTGTGTCATCCGGGTGCTCTGGCTTCCCCTACCACTTAAGCATGTGCAAAGGGACTGGATGAAAACTTAGATAATTCTGGTGTAATTACTGCAGTAGCTGTTCTTTAATGCACACAGTGTCCCATTGAAATAAATGAATCAATTTGTATTGGTGTATAATGTTGTTTTTTTAACAAGAGTAAAAAAAAAGGGAGTGACAATTCTGTACTTTTACAGCAAAACTCTGCAGAATGCAAATACACTGTAAAATAAGGCAGTTTGTCTCATGTAAAATATAAATTGTTTTATTCGCGCATTTGTCAGAATTGTACCTAATTACTGGTCTGTGTGTTAATGAGTTGTTATGATATGGTGCAAACTCACTGCTGAAATGAAAGTACTGCACAAACTCAATCCCAAGTAATGACTGCAGAACTCACACTAGCTCGTTGCTAATGGTGGTTATTTTTGTATGGCCTTATGTGTTGCTATAGAAACTGTTGCAGTTCTAGAAGGAGAGGTAGTGCAGTGTTAAATAAACCAGATATTATCTGAAGATGCAATGATTGATTCAGTGCACTGGTCGAGAATAAGTCATGCATTAATCTGATTATGATGAACTAATAATTGGTCTATTAAGTGGAAATCATCAATATTGGACGGATTGTTACCTAATTTAGTAATTTATTACAGATAATCAAATGTTGGTCTATAAAGACTATAAACATGCCATGTTTTTAGAGTCTATTTTTTTATGCATGATGATGTGTAGGACAACATCCTCATGCTGCATCATAATAACTTAATAAAATAAAAGGTGTTGATAAGATGTAGATAGTTTACCATTCAATTCCTCATTTTTTTTTTTGAGCATCAGAGTTCCACACAGTTCTACTTATATACAAAGTTCAGCACAGTAATCAAAGCCAAAAATAGGTAGGCGTAAGTAAATAATTAAATAAATAGCGTGGATATGATGCTCAAAAGGAGTAGGCAGAAGCTTAAGCTTGTTTGCACCTACCCCTTGTGTACTGAAGAATTTGATACATTCAATACATTCATTTACTGCATGATCAAAAAGATATGACAGTTATTTTGTTATGTTCCAGTGACTATACAAACAGCAATATAAACATCACAATATTCAACTAATCCCAAGGCAATGAAAGAAAACTTGAACCTTTTCTTCAATAATTACAAATACCCATCACTGTCAACACAACTAGTCACCAATCTTTTAACTTGATAATTTGTTACTTGTTATGGATTTAATGCTATTAATGGTCACAATAATGATGGATTATATTAACAACCATAATTATATGATTTATTAATTATGTAAATCTATTTTAGATTTTTAACTATTATATTATCATTATTTATTCCTTTATACCATTTTAGTAATAATAATCGTTCACTTCGTTGTCACCATCTACAGCGGACTATAAGATAGTGTGAGCCCTATTCTGTGAGGTGCATTAAAAAGTAGAGTGTGGGCCCGCTGGGAGGGGGGAATGGCCCCCAATCAACCGGCCCAACCCTGCTGCCCTGAGTAATTGACTTTACAGTGATGTTGGTAATCTGTGCAGTAAAATGCGCCACATGACGAGATTCATGAACCCACTGGGAGGAGGGGGGGCCCTTCTCTCCAACAGGTCCATGTCTCACCTGCCATTATCCTTTGTATAGTTGAGGAGCAGTGATGGTGACAACAAGCAGCCACAATGGTGTTTTTAAGTCTTGTCCTTGTTGCTGTTAATTTAGTTATAGCCCTCTGTAAAAGTAATGGTGATAGTAAATGATGTAAGTAGATTTAACAGCGAACTGCATTTGTACTTATAGCAAAATACGTTCATATAGAGCTTTAACTTCAGAATCACATAGCTAGTACATAAGAGATATGTGAAGAAGAGAAAACAAACAACAACAAAAACAATATACAGGTTATGCATCACCCTATATACACTATATACATAAGCGGATACATATATATTATTATTATTTATTTTTATTTTTTTTCACTTCTGCATAGCTACATGAGCTCAGTATGGCCAAGACCATTGAATGTACCAATACATGAACTAATAAATGAACTATCTTTTTGCTACCCTGCACTTAGTTGTGACATGTTTTATCTTTGTCTAATCCATTTGGGATCTTGAAATGTTTTGCATTGTAGCTGTCCATATTTACACCGAACGACTGGTGACACTGAGCGCAAGTACCATCTCCGCTATTACAAGACTGGCACTTGTATCCACGAGACTGACGCCCGGGGCCATTGTGTGAAGAATGGACTCCACTGTGCATTTGCCCATGGGCCACACGACCTTCGGCCGCCTGTTTATGATATCAGGTGATATACAGCCACAGAACTTTTTAAAGCATCAATATTGAGAATTTATTGATACAATTATATCAGGCCTACTCAATGGTAATGGGCTAGCTTAAACATGTTTTCACAGAGAGATTCAAGCCCAAGAGGCTCTTCAAAATGGACAGCTGGGATCTGGTGACAGTATCCCTGACCTGCAGCCTGGTGTTTTAGCAAGTCAAGCTATGATTGAAAAAACCTTAACGGAAGACCCACGGTGGCAAGGTGCGCATTTGTAAATCAAACATATTTCTATTTTTCAATAACTAACACATTTGAAATGGGACAGCTAAGAAACCCCTTTTCTCTATTTCAGATACCAATTTTGTTTTAGCTAATTATAAAACAGACCAGTGTACCAAGCCCCCTAGACTATGCAGACAGGGTTATGCTTGTCCTCATTACCACAATAGTAGAGATCGAAGAAGAAATCCACGGAAGTTCAAATACAGGTGGGTAAGGTCTTTATTTCTTAAGTCAAATGTATTGTAGACATGCAGGGTGACTGTTGTTTGTCTGTGAGTGCAGGTCAACACCATGTCCGAATGTGAAACATGGGGATGAATGGGGGGAGCCCTCAAAGTGTGACAGTGGAGACAGCTGTCAGTATTGTCACTCTCGCACAGAGCAGCAGTTTCATCCAGAGGTGTGTGACGTCTATTGCCATATTTCTTTCCCTTTTACAATAAATTAATCAAAGCAGCCGTTGATCATGATGTTTCTCCAACTATAGATTTACAAATCTACCAAATGCAATGATATGAGGCAAACTGGATACTGTCCCAGAGGACCGTTTTGTGCATTTGCACATGTAGAAAGTAAGACGATCAGTAAATATGTTTTTAAGACTTTAACTCCATAGTATATTAATGATATTTTCTATCAGGAATACCCTCTACAGAAGAGACGATGAGTTCTTTGCTGACTGCAATACAGTCCAGCACTCATTCCCAGATGAGCTCTCAGCAGTATTCAGAGTGTCTCGCCAGTGACTGGACCAGTGGGGGCAACTCCAGTAGCAACGGTGTCGGAAGTGTACGTTTCTTCTGCTGCCACATCAAAATCCTTCCATCCTATTTTTTCACATGCATTTTTATGTTGTTTAAAATTACTTTTCTTTGAATTAATCATCTACCAAATGTAAAATGAGAATAATAGAAAGCGATATAATAGAGAACACTAGATTTTGTTTCAGTGTATACATGCTTTTTATTTGTTTTTTTGTTCATTTGCTCTTTGTGTTCACTTTTCCCCTTCAGGTTTCATGTTCAAATAGTTCAACTTTAACCACCAGCTCAGAAAGCGACAGTTTGTTATCACCGGTTGGCTCCATCAGTCGGCCCAAATCTTTAACTAACAATAGTTTATGTTCAGAGTCCACCACATCCAGTGTCTCACCTCTGACGTCTCACTATCCAAAAGCACCAGGCTTTGAACGTGAGGATCAGGTACACTGACTGACTCTTTAGCTTTAAACTTAGATTTTCGTCTTAGAAATCCAAAATTTTACCATTTGTTTTATTCATATTTTGCCCATATCATATGTATGTGTATCTTGTCAATTAAACATTGATGTTTCACATAGAATATGTATCTAACCCATTTCTTTGTTTTAGATTAAGAGCAAGGGTCATGGGGAGGCTAAATTTATGGACCATGAAAGGGTATGGCTTGATAACTTTCCATTAGACACAATACATTACAATTATAACAATATTCTGTCTCACTAAGATGTGCCTTTTTGTTTGTGTTTAGACACAAAATGCTGTATTCTCAGCTGTAAATGCTTTAGCATCCAGCTTTACCTCCAGTATCACATCCAGCTTAGCATCCAGTATTGGCTCTGATAGTTCCTCACCCACCACCTTATCAACCATGAATGCAAAAGCCACACCATTCTACCCAGGGAGCAATACAGTGGAGTCTGTTATAGGTATGTAGAGATGAAAACTAATTTCCTCAAATTTCTGCCAGTACTGACTTCTGTTGTCCTCAGGATCTGCCCTAGACCTTAATTTCAGTGATATAAATGTTGCATCTCTTGATAAGGAGCTCGAAGAGCAGGACCATACTATAGGGTTGGGAGGTCAGTGTTTCTGAACTTTAACAATAGTTTCACATTTTTTGTTGTAGTCATGCAAATGTATCTGTCCCTGCAGGTCACCGTGTGCTCAGTGGATCTGCTCCTGTTAACATTCCTGGTTCACTTGGCCGTTCATCTTCATTTAACTCTTCATCATCACTGTCCACTTCCCCTCTGAGCTCCCTGTCCCATTCCCTGTCCCAGTCTCTCCTGTCCGCAGCACTAAATCAGCAAAATCAGCCTGCCGCCATGTTGGCCAAGCAAGAGCATGGCCTTTTGGGAACGCCAACTTCATCTACTCAGAATCTGGGTAAGTTCAGATGTGATTGAAGTAAAGTTTAGGTCTTATCACATACTTCCATGTATTAACAGGTTTTGTGTTAAATATCTCAGGGTTGAATGGTGGATCCAGCAGCATTTGGGATTTTGCAAGTGGCAATTTTTCCCCCAGTCCATCCCCAGTGTACAGTAGCCTGGCCTCCGCCGCAGGTATTGCAGATGTGAACCGCCTCTTCAGAGAATTGGAGGAGGCCAAGAGGAAGATCAAACAATTGGAAGAAGCATGGCATCAGGTCAAACAGGTCAGCCGTCCAAACCCAGACGCCTTCTTACGTCACGCATCTGATCTTTCTCACCACTATTGGGGGGTGTTTTCAGGCCTGCGAAGCCTGTCAGAAAGATGCCCACGAAGCAAAGGAGCAAGCGAAATCTGCGGAGGTGGAGAGGCAACTGGTCGAGCAGAAGTGGGAGGAGACCGAGCGCAAACTGAAGGAGCTCCAAGGGGACTATGACGTACTCTGTCGCACCCCGGGAACGCCTTTGCTGCGCGGCTACGGCGAGCTAGAGAAACTCCCTCTGTCTAAGCTCCACTCCCTCCAGAGCCAACTCCGCAATGACCTAGACCTAATAGACGGGGTAAGAAAGGCGCGATCACACACAGCACGCCACTTGTAGCATCCGAAGCACTCCTCGGATTATTCTTGGTTTGTTTTTGTTTTAGTTTTTTTGATGAAGCATGCTCAATTTGAAAGCACCAACTGCATGAACTGTCTTTTTTTTTCCTTCAAGATTGGGGCTGATACTCGTTCTTCTTCTCTCCAACAGGTTATATATCAGCTTCAGTCAAAGAAATGTATAGTTTGCCAAAAGCATGATCGTTGCGTTGTCCTGCAGCCTTGCCAACATTATGTACTATGTGAGAATTGTGCATCTAGTAAAGCCGAATGCCCCTACTGTAGAACTAAAATACTGAAATGGTGATGTACAATTATTCAAGGTACTATTTAAAAAAGAAAAAAAGAAGAAAAAGAAAAATAGCTCTTTAATGTACATTTACATTTTCTATACAGTATAGCAATGTCAGTTTTCTATTGATAACTTTATTAGATATTAATTGATGCTTGACTGATGGTGATTACCAATATTTAGCTTTTGCCTATTTTATGTACGATTTGAATCATTTTACAGAGAAAAAAAAGCCATAGAACAAATCTCAGCACAAAATGCAATATAACATTTGACAGTAAACGTATAAACAGTCACAATATCTTCACGACGATTACAATTATAGATGTACAGACTATGAAAGTACTTGTTTTCTATAGCCTTATCTATGTTGTATAAATTGTAGAAATACTAGCACTTGGCATAATCTCGCAAAAAACGCACTTCTCTGAATTTACTCTGTATTTAATAGTAAGTACGAACGTGCAAACAAATAAAAAAATATGTCGACATCAGTTATACTATCAAAAACTTGTAATCCAACCGTACATATTTTATATTTCTTCATTTCTGTCCCCATTAACGACTAACTGTAACCAGCAGACATAAAATGGGCAAAAGGAACGGGAGGAAGACTATGTACATCTTTCCGCAAATCGAGTTATATTTATTTGAATGTAAGGAAAATGAATATTGTCACGGCGTTTATTTACGATGATGGTTAATGAGGCACGTCATGGTTTTCCTCTTTAATAAAACATCACGCCGACCTTTTAAACAAATGCTTTTTTTTGTTATCAAAGCCATTCAGTCAGCCATCATACTATTGACCAACTCTTTGAAGAAAATTGTTTTATTATGAAAGCACTTTGTTAACGTGGAACTGTGTTAAGGGTTTAGACATTTGCTTTAAGCTGCTTTTTAGGTATTCTTTTGTGTCTTTTGTAGATTTATACTTTTTCTATAAGCTATTGTCTGAAGCTTTCCTGTGTACTGTGAAAAGTAATTTGATTTTTTGTTATGTTTTCTATTAGTAAATCATGGCATGATTCTACGCATACACAATTTAATAGAATGGACTACATAGTTTGTAACGCTTTTTTCATAGATTTTTTAAATTTCAATCAAATAAGTGCAAATTTACTAGGCATAATACTAGGCATAACCAGCAGCTGTAATATCAGTAAGGCACATTTTACATGTTAAGGCTGTTTTCAATCATTAACTAACTTAGTTGTGTAAAGATTTCTATAGCCTATGAGAGCATGTATTAGCTGCCTAAATGGCGAGGTTTTTTATATATCCTGACCTTGAATAGAACATATTTCAAAAGTGCCTTGCCTTAGTTCCAAATGAAATAAATGTCAATTTGTTGAAGGAAACACAAACAGTTGAAGCTTGTGCACAGGCCTCTGCAAATATTGAGAGAAAATCCAGTGAATTTGGGCGATCGTCGGTGACGCTTATGACCATTGGAAACATTGTCAGTGCCTGTGTTCTGGCTTCACCCGTCTCCAAGAGCCCTCCCTTTTACACAGATCCATTCCTAGGCCGTGGTGCTCTCTTGGTGCAGCTTCAGTCAAGTTAGTTTTTACAAATTTCGGGAGTATGCAAATAAGAGTATAGCAACATCTAAAAGAAAATGCTTTTGAAACAAGTAACTGTAACATATTTCAGCATTGAATGAAGACTTGTGTTGTAATATTTTGCATAGACTTTGTGCATAGTCTAATTGAAATGACCTTCTACTGTGTTTATTCTTGCTTTAAATTCAATAGAACATTTAACTCCAGGTATACCTATGCTTCTTATAACTATAGGAAGATGTATTGTTTACATTCACTCAAATGACAATTACACAACTCAGAGGACAAATATGTAAAGGTGATGGTATTTTCACATATTACTGAAATATACAACATTTAACAGGCTTAGCACTTCTGGTATTGCATGTTATGCGATATAATAACCAGCTATGTGTTTTAAAATAAACAAAAAAGTAAAAAAAACAAAATAATAACAATAATATTCGCACTGTGTCACACTGCCAGAATATTTGTATGGAGTTATTTTTAGAGTAGTAACTGCTTAAAATTTCAGTAAGCTTTACTGCTACTGGAAAAGGTATTATCGTAGTTCTTGTAATACATTTAGATGTTTGAATGTTGTGCATCCACAGCTCAGATTCTGCAAATTATGAAAAATAAGATTGTTCTGTCCAATGCAGCTACTTGAGTGCAATGGCTAAGAATGATGTCATAAATGTGTTATGCTCTGGATTATCCCCTTTTTCAAGTTCTTCAAAGTTAGTGTATGTCTTTGTTGCATTGTTTCCCTGTAAAGCTGTTTCATGGAGCTATTGGTCTGCAGTTCCCAGTGGAGCACACTAAATAAATGATGTCTTTTGTGAATTTCTCAAAACAAACCAAAGTGGTGTTAAAGTAGCTCTGTAAATCTGTTTTAAGGGAGATGGTTCCCCTTTAACATAATTCATACTTTTGCAAAAAGCAGTGTGTGTTTGTGAATTAGATCTGGATTGTCTGGAGTTAATCGCAGGTCAGAGGACGAAGGTCAAGGGCAGCTCAGTTTGTATGAGGAAAGGAATGTTTGGGTTAGATCTCATGCCTGATGCAATGGAGCTGGACAGAGCCTTTCAAAGTATGACTTATACCACTGGTTTGTGTTATCAGGCTTGAGGTGTTTTTGCCGTTTCTACCAAAGACCTGTAATATTCCTTTTTTTCATGTTTTAAAATTATATTTCACGAATTTTGTTTGTGGCAAATCTAATTTGAAGACTGTCACCTAGTACCTTAAATTGATTAAAAAGCATGCGCCAGATTGTCACGTAAGTGTATTGTACATTTCATTTCTGTTTGGTCTTTAAACAGTGGTGTTTATTGCAGTTATGAGCACACAGACCCTCACATGCGGACCATATGTGGTCAAAGTGTCTACAGTGAAGGAATATAAATGACTTGTATTTATCTAGAGTGGCCATATAAACTTACATATATTACTTCACCGTCTTGAAGTAACTTGTTGGTTGGCTTAACAGAACCTATTCTCAGTGATTTCTGATACTAGTGTTTTCTGCTGTTTGAATTGGCCTATGGTGACTGTAAGGTGCTTTTTTACCTGACTGGGTTTCCATGTTTTGAAGCTGTGGTCCAAATTGGTTTTATCTTTCATGTAAACGAGTAAAAGGGGGCATATGATTGTGATGTGAATCAATACAATGAGAAAAAGTGTTAAAAAAAAGCAACTGCACCTTTTGCAGTTTGCACTTTTGGTAGATCTCGTCAAAGGACCAATTACAAATTACACTAAGATTGTGCCTTTTGAAAAAAATGTGTTATGTTGATTTAAAAAATATTATTACAGTTGGAGTTAGTTACAAAAATCAAAATAAATTTCCAGTGCCTTAAAATGTTTGATTCTAAAAATGTTACAATGCCCCCTTTGAATTATGACCACTTGCGATGAGGCTTAATTTAGAGTTTTAGGATTAAACACCTCAGCGCCGTCTATTGCCATGCTAAAAACAGCAATACTTAACTTATAATACACAGAATGATTTCAAATAGGAGATGACTAAAACATTTTTATTAAGAAAAGCACCAAATGAGGAGAATTTTGTAAATGAACTGTAATTGATGTACTGTTATGATCTGTAACAAAATAGCTGATTATATTTTACATTGTTGGTTAGTTGTTTGTTTTCTTTATTATAAAATGGAGCCTGAACATTTATGCAATCTTGTACATGTATACGTATAATGTATGGAGCTGTTCAAATTGAGTAAAAATATTGCAGATGTTGTCAAACATACTTTCAAGATGGAAGAAAAAGTTCTGTATGGTTTAGATAATTTTGTTCTCTGTGTTGAACCCCTAAAATATTGAATGTATTGTTCTGAATTAGATATTTAAATAATGGGTCACTGGAATATTATGGAGCGCAGTAAATTCATTATGATGTAGCATTTAGTTGTGAACTGCTATTAAATAAACATATTAGAAATGACGTTTTCACGTTTCTATTTGTCAGTTTAGTGAAAAGAAATGTATTTTTAATGAATATACAGAAATTATGATGCAGAATATGCAATGTGTAAGCATTTCAATAAATAAAAGAACAAAATATAACTAATGCCAGTGGGTAGGGTAAGGACATTATTTGTAACAACTTATGGATATGTAGAAAATGCTATGATTATTGTAAAATAACTGTTGGTATAATGCTATGTTTTGTGAACACAAAATAGGTGCAACTATTAGGATTTTAAATATTTTGCTTTTCTACATCAAGGGTTGTGTAGTGTATTACTAGTTTGTTAACACTTGTCATTTGTTACACTACAGTTATGCAATGGTTTACAGAATTCTATCATATTGACAATTAAAATAATTTTTCATCGGAGTGTTTTTTTCCGAGCATATTTGCATTGGTTTGAATTTTCTTATTGTGTACATTCCACTAGATGGCGCCTGTGTGCAGCAGGTTCTCCCAGGAAGGGGCGTTTGTCAGAGTGCAGTCTGAAGTGGACTGATCAGGGACTGAAAGCAGTATATGAATAAGCACATGTTCTTTACAAAGGTCACATTACAACAATAATGAATACATGATTGAAATGTGACATATGATATAAAAATTACAATTTATAATGTTCATTCAAAAGTCTGTTTGATGGGAGTCATTGGCCATGAGTGACCTGGTCCAAAGATAACTGGGTGATTCTCACGAAATCCAGATTTAGAAGGTGACCAACATCAGAATTTAAAAAAGGCACTTGAAGCTAATTTTCTTTTTGCACATACAAGATTAAGATATTAACTTATTATAAACATTATTTTTAGAAGATTTAAAAAAGTATTTCCTATATATTTATTAACATTTTTCGATGAAGTTGATGAAAAATTATCATTACCGCAACATGACATTACATTAAATATATGGTCAAAAATTTGCTGTTTTGGCTAATTTTAAAGTAGAATCTTATTACTATGGCTCAAAGCTATGCAAAACTCTGAAGAGATAAGTTTTTAATTATTTTTATCTTTTGTTATTTCCTTATTTTCTCTCATTACCGAAACATACATGATGATTTACAACTTATTTTATGTAATTATTTTACAAAAAAATAAGATGCACATTTTTTATGTAGCACAACGTAAATATATATTGTTTTTTAATATGAATATAATTTTTTTCACAAAATATCATTATGTAATCATTACTTAATTTATATAAAAGATACATGTTGCGGTAACGAGAGAGCCATTTCAGGAATGAGGATCAATGTTTCAGAAATGAGATGTATTTCAAAATATTCACGGTAAACAAAGGGGTTTGATGCCGAACCCTATTTTATATATTTAAAACACATACATTTTCAACAAAATATTTATTTCATATACTGTACACTGTTTCATTTTCTCATTTATCTTAAACATAACAGTACCATGCCTTGGTACTGTACAAGTGCTGTGTATACAAGTTACAATCTTATGCTTGTAAATTCATTCAGTCATGCCCTGTGCTGTAGCACTAATAAATATACAACCATTAGTATGAATATTATTATAGTAAATCATACACACGTTCCTTCATGAGAAGTTTGTCAATGCAACATGCCATCATGTGGTCCTGAAAAAAACATTTGAATGCAACAGCATTATGTGCTCTTAATACTTAATAACTATCTTAATTTAGATATAAAACATTGGTCCTTATAGTCTATCAACCACACAACCTTTTTTTCTGAGAATAATCTCTTGAACAGCAGCAATTAAAACAAACAACTAGAACCACTGCTTTTTTGCCAATCATGTTTTCCCCCATTTGTATCTCATGAGCGTTTTTTGTGTTTTGCCCATATGTCAGGTAAAATGCAGAAATGCCTAGCAGAGGAGGTAGCAGGAAGTGGTTCTGGGATTATGTCCCGTATGTCCTGACGATAGTACCAGACCCTTTCTCCTGGAAATCGACTTCATACTGCCCTTCAGCAATCTGTATTAAGAAACATTTGTATAAACATTTTGGTTGGATAATTTAATGTAACTGCAGAAATAATCACATATTAACAAAAGTCTTTAAATTTAACTCACCTGTGTGACTGTACCAGGGAACAAGTCACCATCATATTCAACTAGGACCCACTGCCCAACCTCTATGGTGGCCTCGGTTCTGTCAGGGTCCTCATTTCCTTTCTCAGAGAGGGCATGGCAATTTGTGGGAAAACACTGGCAGTTTCTCCCACAAAAGCATGACACCTCACGTGTGTCTATGACTCCCGGTTTTGTGGAAGCTAGCTGTTGAAGTAGAATTCAAAAAGAAAAAGATGAACTGAAGTATCACATATAGAATATTTTGGATACTGGTATGGTCTGCTTTCCATGTTAATTTAACTTAATTTAGTAATTTACCTACATTTATCCATATTTACTCATACAATTAATATAAATGTTGACTCACCTGGTGTATTTTCAGTGTCCCAGGAACTGTTTCCAGGTTTGGGGGAACTAATTCACAGCTGGCTTTTATTTTATCCTCTGTTACTTTGTACAGAGTCACTGATGAATTGTTTTTCAGCTGCTTATACAGAGACTCTGCATCAGGAATACTGGTCCCATAAGAAACAATTCTGTCTGCAAGATTCTTCAAAGCCCCACCTACTCCATCTGGTGCACCTTTGCCATGTGATGCCTCAGTGAAGTTCCAGGTCACCCATTGAAATCCATGCATAAAAGGCACAGTGGAGGCTAGATAGAAAGATGTTTTGTTTCTATACTGGGATGTTGGGCCATCTGAAATGAAATGGAGGTTGTGGGCTTCAGGATACTTTTCTCGTATGTATCTTAGCACTGGGTCAAGATGAGCCCAGGTTGCCACTGCATTGTGCTGTAAGCAGTCTGAGAGGGATGCAAAGGCTTCCACTCTGCCTCTGCTGAGATAGAGTACCCCAGTGTGGAGGGTTACTTGATCATTCCCAGTTCCAAAATGGGTGTCCTTGATTTCTTTGGCATATTTGCAGCTGTAATTTTCACTGTAATCTACATGCACAGCAACAGCATCATCTGCCAGGGTATCTTTCATTTCTTTCAACTTCATATATTGGTGCTTGACATTAAACATGTGAATGGCAAAACCAGGAAGGTGTTCTGTTGTTAGGGCCAGCAACCGCTCAATGGATGAGGTACGATTTTCTAGGAAGGTTTTCTTTGTCTGCCTTTCCTCTGTAGATCCATCCTTTCGGGTCTTTGTAACAATTACAGACCTTGTGATCCACTCTTGCCAAATAACAGTGTTCCCCTGAGTGAGAGGATCTAAGAATGAAGGAAAGGTCTTTTTGATGCATTTTTGACATCTGCCATACATGCAGGACATGTTGCCAGTGTCACACACACTGGACTGCACAAGATCCTCTGGGCTTGATGTTTCAATGATACCCAGTTGTTCCATTCTTTTTATTTTAAAGGCAATGTTCTCGTGCATTTTACATGCACACGTCTCTCGGTCTTTAACTTTAGGCCTAATGATCCAAAATGGCCTCAATCTAAAGAACTGAGCTTTGGACACGGTTTTCTCAGGATGTTCAGAAAGGAATCGTCGATGGAGTTTTGCCAAGGTGTTTGTGAGTGCTCTTTTTCTATAAATTTGTCCCTTGCGACGAATCTCTCCAGCCTTGCCATTTATGACAGTTGAGATATCATCCCGATGTAGGAACATGCTTACAACCTTGCCAAGTTGTTTTCGCTTGCTATTGATCGGCAGTCTCTTTTTAGCCTCTCTAATCCTGGCCCTTTGTGAAATCTCTGCTGGTAGCCTTGGAATTGCACTTTTTGGTTTAGCCTCCAGCCTTCTAATTTTTCTGTTTAGTGACAGCAGTTGTTTTGTTTTTGTCCCAAGTTTCTCTTCAACATACTGTAACTTTGCTCTTAATTTGGCCACAATCTTTGATGCCGGCTCTCTTTTTTTAATGACTGGCGTTCTCTGGGGGGTGGATGCTTCCATTGGCCCTGTCAGGTCTAAACTTTCTTCTGCTGGTGTTCCGTTCAGATTTTCATTATTTGTGTCCATTTCCTGTCTGCTGGTTTCTTCTTTTGCAAAAGAATGTTCCACCTCACTTAATGACGAAGCTGGGGTTAGATCAAGAATTTCTTGCTCTTGTTTTTTTTTTCTGTAATATTTTTTAGAATTTTTCCTCCATTGTATTTTTTTTCTCTCGTGCTGTCTACTGGTGAGGTCCTGAGTAGTCTTAATTTGACCATTTTGTTTACGCTTCTGATACCTGGAAAAGGAAAAATGAAAAAGTGAAATGCAGTAAGCACTGACATAAATACAAGTGTGTGAGTGTAAACACACATACACATGTCTGTGTTTGAAAGAGTGTGCATGTACAATATATACAATTATGTCAGCAAATTATTCACTAGTATCATTCTGTCACCTAACCTCTCTCGCTCCTTTCTTCTGTACTCCTCAAGTAACGCTGGATTGCTGTATATTTTGTCCCTATGCTTTGCCAGCCTGTCTTTCGCAGATGCCCTTTTCTTTTCAACTGATGCTTGCCTGGAAAAAAATACACTATTTACATATTGAATGTAACATTTTGTAAAAAGACATAAAAACACATAAATTCACAGTAAAATGATTTAGAATTTAATAATATTACATTTATAGTAGGTGGCCTGTACTGCATACAAAGTTTTTTGTGGAAGCACTACATAAAAAGGAGAAATTATTGACCCCTACTGGGGGGGGGTTGTAATAGCTCATTTGTTTACACAATCTGTTCAAGTGTTTAAAGGCAAATATCAAGTTATATTGAAATGAGCAAGAGTTACAGAGCATGTCCCTCCTTCATAAGTCTCATTCTCATTACCGAAACATTGAGTCTCTCCACTGCAACAGGCCCTCAATTGTTGCTGTGGATGATAATGGTGTTGCGGAGGATGAGTGACCTTAAACATTCTTGCTAACTGTGAAAGCACCATGAGGGTTAGCTAAACTTTCCCGCACTTTTTATGTTTAGACCATAATGGGATATGTAATAGGAAAAAAAGGAAGATGACAACATTTTTTTCAACTTCACAAATTCATGTTTCAGTAATGAGAAGAAAAAGGTCAGGTAGGTACTATGACAAACAACATTTTGACTTTTTCCTGGAGAGGAAAAAAAAGATCTGCTTACCTGGTAGCCATCTCGAGTGTCTCAGTCAATTATGTCCCTTCCAACAAAATTTCTTGAAAATGTAAGTTCCTTGAGGACTTCAATGAGGATTTAAAATTGTTGTGGAGGATGAGAAAATTGGTCTTGGACACATTTATATTCCTTAATATTGTCATGACATTTACTAAAATCTCATCAAATATCACATGTTTCTTTACTGTAAATGTTTATTGGATAACATGCACCAAAGTTTTTTATTTTTTATATTTTTTAATTATTAATTTTTCCATCTCAAAGGATCCAAATCCAGTCATGGACATGTTGTGGTAATGAGGAATTTCCCCTTAAATGTGGAAAAAACAACAAAAATGGTTTTTATTTTGATATTTGAAATAATGTGCAAAGTACTACATGGAGAGATGTTTATAACTGTATTCTTCTTATTTTGATAGCATTTACTTGTATCATCAAAATGCTTCATGACACCTGATCACATGTGATTATGTGATCAAAGGGGAGGGTATTAGTATTAGATAGCAATATGGCCTACGTACAAGGACTCTACAAGGACTCCATGTTATGACTATGATGTGACTGTCTCTTTGTGACACGTATGTCTTTCGATGTGTGACGTGACAATGACTATATAAACTGTGTACTGCCTTTATTCTGTCTGAGAGAAAGAAACAGAGTAAACCAGTGGAACTTGAGAGAAACTTAAGAGAAACTTAAATAAACTTCCAGAGTTTGGCACACCACGATCCGTCTCTGTCTGCTAAATCCTAACAGATTTGGTGGAGAATGCGCGGCTCGGTTTGTGCCATTCTCTGGATTGTTTTGAGGGAGTTTTGCTCTGTTTCTTTTCCTCTGCGTGAGAGACCGGCATGCTGTGTCTGGGAGCGGAGATTCCAGCAGGCTGGAAGAGCTGTTCCTGGATGCTTCTTGTCGCTTCTGTCACTTTTGTTTTTTTAAATTGAATATTCCGACGCGGAAAAGAGTTGGCAGACCTCTCGGACAGTCCGTGCATGCACCTGTTTGACAAGAATAAGGTAAGCAGACACCTTTTTATATGTAAAGTCTGCATAATTGGATACTAGCTAAATTTTGGTCTGTTTTTGAGGTCTGTCGAACTCTCTAAATTGTGTTCAAATAAGTGAGGATCCATAAAGTGAAAAGTGTTGGCCATAAGTGAGGATCCATAAAGTGAAAAGGCCATAAGTGTATAGGATCCATAAAGTGAAAAGGCCATAAGTGTAGGATCCATAAAGTGTTGGCCATAAGTGAGGATCCATAAAGTGAAAAGTGTTGGCCATTAAAGTGAATAGGATCCATAAAGTGAAAAGTGTTGGCCATTAAAGTGAATAGGATCCATAAAGTGAAAAGTGTTGGCCATTAAAGTGAATAGGATCCATAAAGTGTAAAGGCCATAAAAAGTGTAGGATCCATAAAGTGTAAAGGCCATAAGTGAGGATCCATAAGTGAAACCATGGTGTAAAATTAAAAGTAATTATAAAAAGGGAAACGTGTTAAGGAGGCCTTTGTTACAAAAGCTTTGAAATTGACAAATTTCAGGCTGATAAAAAACAAAAGAAAGAATCATGAGTATCTCTCTCATTTAGCACTCATCTATGTATGATTTTAATAATATAAACATCACTCCCCAGTTTTCTCTCTCTCAGATCCTCAGGTCCTCAGGGTCCTCTGAGGGTGAGTCTCAGTCGTCATCAGGTCAGGTCATATAGAGATGTCATCTTGGACATCAGTAGGGTCCAAGCCATGGTTCTGGTCTCTCCAGTTGGACATCGGATCTCCAGACACCTTAGGAATCTTATTTCGTGAGAACATCCCAACTAAGTAATACAGTCCATGTGACGAGTTATAGCTCTCAGAACAGTTTCTCTCACACATGCATTTTGGCTTCTGTCACATCCTTGAATCGGCTTTTTCAAACAGACCTCTAACTTTTGACTTTTGTCTGTAAAAGCCAATCAGCTCAGTTTTCTAATAAGATAAATACAGCATGTTACGGTCTGCTTTGTTCACAAAATGTAACTTAGAGATTAGGTACTCCAGCTTTAATTCATGTGGTATAAAATGCAAAAACACAGTTTGCTTTATTCTCACTTTTCCGCTGCACCTAAAACATGAAATGATACCAAGTGGTCATATTATTAGTCAAATTAGTTAAACTATATCAATCTATACTATACTTACATGAAATAAGCTCATGCTCAAAGAAGAACAGTGCACACAGTCGGTTTGCCACTTGAGGTGTGGGTGACATCAAAATGGCCAAATCGCCAGTGGGTTGTCTGTGCAGGACGTTCTTCAGAGCAAACACAGCATGTTTCTGCCTCAGCGCACACACCAGTGCAGGGGAAGACGTCAGAGTGACCAGAGCGCTAACACTGGACTTCTCCCCCACTTCATAAGGACTCACTTCCTGGGCCTGCAGTCGGCTTAGCGTGTGCAGCCATTTCAGGCCCAGCACATCAAACCCTGTAGAATGAACAAAAATGTATGTAGGAAATGGAATTAGCTGAAGTAATAAGCCATAGACTGTTTAGAGGCCTACATTACAGGTGTGAGTGGGACAGTTGTGGTTAAATGTGAAGTGATTTTACCAATTAAGGATCATTAGCATACTTCGGCATAGAAATACCTGCCAAACACATTTTGTGTGCTATCTTTAATACATAAATCCTCATTACTGCTGATAATTCAAGCAATTAACTAAAGTCCAAAGAGCGACACAAAAAATGTCATGTCACAGAATATTACATATTATTGTTTGGATTAATTTAGTTTGGTGCACTTTCATCTGGATTAACATGGACACCACCACCACATTCTGATCTGATAATACGTCCAAGCTCTCTGATGCCAGATAAGCACCGCCCACAAGAAAACATCATATTTAAAAACTTTGAAGGTGCCTAACATGATGAATGTCAGGTTATTGTGGCTATTGTTGGAACTATGTTTAATGCTTAGTCCAGGCAAAAAGACCAATAGTTACAATGTGTTTCACCTACCATGCTGTGTTAGAGCTCTGTGCAGGAGGCCCAAACCTTGGCTCATGTCCTGTCCACACAACGTCAAAACAACCAGCTCGTCCCACTCCAGGCCTCGGGGACACTTTTGATTGGACAGGACCACAGTGGAAGCATCTGGGACATTCCAAGCCAGCTGAGCTAAGAAAAAAATACATACAGATTGTGAAAAAAAATATAGATCTAAATATGTATGGTGATTTAAGATGAGATTTTACCAAAAATATTATACATGCTGTTGCTATAAGGAACCGTATGGAAACACAAAGTTGGTCGAAAACTAGTTTGAACGTCATCACCCATGGATTGCAGGAGAGAGAGAAGGTTTTGCGTCTTGAATTCTTTGATAAGAGCTGACAAATACAAAGAACGAAACATATTAAATTACATATAGTTTACAGACTGTCAACATTACATATAGTTTACAGACTGTCAACATTACATACTGTACCTGCTGGACGAGAAATGCTGTGATGTAATGCATTTTCCTTCTTGAGAATCAGCACCAGGCATTTTTGTGAAGTCAATGTCCTGTACAATTTGACCTAAAACAATCATTTATGCACTTATTTTTGTGTGAATGGAAAGCATATCTACATAATGCTTTAATCAACTCGTACTGGGAGACGGGAGAGTCCGAGTAGTGAAGCTCTTGCACTATCCATTTCTGTCATCAGTATTCCCCTGAGAAGAAATCCTCGACGTTCACATGCGGAAAGGACAAGGCCATAGCAACATGGAGGAACGAGAGGTGAGACCACAAGGACCAAAATCCATAAAAACTATATCTATTGACCTACAATATGTGTAAGAGAGGAGACTATACCTGTAGTTGTCGCACACAGGAAGGATGCGGTCTCACAATGAGCCACCTCCACTTTGCTAAGAAGATACTTTTTTTTTTTAGATTCAATTTGCTATCAACATTCTTGTACTGCATCGGTTTGAGATGTTTGCATTGTCTGGATTTTCAGTTAAGTGTTATCACCAACATCAAACCTCACTCTCAGTTGCGCTATTTCAACATGTCTCTCTCTGAAAACTGCAGATTAAAACTATACACATATATTTTAAAAACTATCTGAAACGTACAAAACTCCCAAAGCATTTTAACACAACATATGTCACTATTTGAGATGATTAAAGTAACATCTGCCAGTGTGTATGTGTTAGACGTTTAAAATGATCTGACAACAGACCTTTTAAGAAATTCTTCCTGGTACTTTCTACTTTCTTCGACAAGTCTCCCAGAAAACCACAGACACAGCTCCTTGTGGACTTGATCAGACTGATGAGGGGTGTACAGCAGCAGAGAACCCTCATCCCCATCTTCAGTCACTACTATCGGTGTCTTCTGCCTAATGAGCTGCACTTGTTTATTTAGGCCTTGTGATAATGAATGCGCATGAGGTCCACGGACCGCCATGGCGAGGACACTCTGAGTGGCAGCTCCTTTTTGAAGGAAGGTCTTGCACTCTTGGTAGATTTTCAAGCACATAATTAAACAGTAATATTAGCATTAAATATTTACAATAACTAAGAATTTCTTTACCAAAATGATCAGGCAGGAGATCAGTTGATGGATAAATAAGTCTTAAACCACAAATATCTAATCCTGAATCGAGGATGGCTTGTAGGGTGTAGTGTGTGACTAGTGGAATATGATAAAAGTCTTGAAATCCCAAAGTCATGGATATCTAAAGTAGAATTAAAGTGAATTAAAATATACATATAAATTGTATGGTTAAAATCCAGTAAAATACCTGTGTATGAAGTTCTTGTTTGGTGTTCCTGCCTTTACATTCGTGTTCTGGGGTTTCCAATGTCTGCCAGTAAAACCCAGGTTTGAGATTAAATATTCTGTCCATTACCTAAAATGTCAAACAAATCATTAAAACATCCACAAATCCAGTAAGTTGAAAATATAACACTCACTTTTTGGTTAGATGTTGCAGTAATAAAAGTGCTTAGATGCCACAATGGGAGGCTAATGGGGGGATTGCAGGTGTCTTCACTTACGACTGCATTTAAATGAGGAAGCCAGGGAGCAATAGAGGAGAGTGAAGTCTCAGACAGAAATCTCTTTATGTGGTTGTAAAAGGGAGTGGGAATATCTGTGTTCTTTTTTTCATATAGATAAACAAAAGACACATTTCAAAATACAATAACTGATCATTTAATAATCAATCTAGATTTTTTTTTACTCCTACCCTTGCTTTATAAACTTGTTTGGCTTCAGTAAGGACATATAAAGCCAGTCCATTATTCTGTGTCCAAAGCTGTTGCAGTCCAAGCACCCGGAATGGGACGTTTACATTGGCTTCCATAGCTCTTGATGATTGTGGATCAACCTTAATTAGAAAAAAAATGCAAAGATCAAGAGATTATAACAAAAAGGTATTGGAAAATAATCAAAGTACGAGTTGGGTCTGACCAAAGAAAGAAACCAGGCTACTAAGGTGTTATAAAGATGTGGTTTGGTTAAGGTCCAATCAATTTTTTGACTCTTTCTCTGTCTTGTCTCCAAAACCGTCCCAGGACTTGAGAGCTTGACAATCAGCAGCATGTGTCCTTCATTTCCTAAATCTGTGGGTAATGATTGAAGTTGATCTAGATGTGAGGCATCCTGAAAGAAAAGTTTGAGGGTGTGACCAAATAGACAAACAGTTTCTAAGGATCCCTCTTACAACATGATAAAGAAGAGTATTTTCAGTGGCTGGTAGCACCTGCCCAACAGACTTTAATGGTCGATTTTTCTCCAGCTCTTTTACAATGTGTTTCTGTTGGTGATCTTTTCTGTAAAATTTAGCAAACATTATTAGGATGACTTTTTCTACTGTTTCTTCTATTGTTGATTATTTGAAGCCAGTTAAGCATACCTTTTCTTCTTGTGACGTTCATGATTCTTGTTCTGATTTTCTGTTTTAAATGTAATGTTCTCATCCAGTGTCTTTTCCAAATTGGATTTGTAAGCGTCCTCGAATTCCAATTGTTTCCCGCATTCCACTGCACTTTTATCATATAATTCTTGTTTATTAATAAATTCATTCATGTAATGGTTCTCCCGTATTTTACGAAGTAGCATGCTTTTGGCTGTTTCTTTTCTAAAAGGAAAAGAATTATCTTAACAAAATAAGAATTTTGACACAGGATTATTTATGGCTTACCCACCCGTAGTTTGTCTGCGTGCCCTCATTGACACAACTGGGGCTGTTAGATGGCATTGCTTTTTCCTTAACTGTGAACTGGGATGGAGACCTTATTGATTTTGTAGATGTCTCACTGGGGCTTCTCAAATCAATATATAAAGTTGGTGGCTTCTTATAATCATTCTCTATATTTTCTTCTTGCATGAGGCCCATGTTCTTTTTCCTATATTAGAGTATTAAAAGATTAAATGTCATGATACATGACAAAATGTAGCATGTAAACATTGAAACCAACAAAGATAAAATAACTAACTTGACATAGTGTATTGTCTTCTTCTCAAGGAAATATGCTGATTTTTCCAGAAGCATGTGGCAGTAATCTTCTCTGTTCCCACCTGTACAGAGTGAAGTTCTCAGAACATGTTCATTAAGTGCATTGTATAATACAGTTGTACTGGCCTGTATATCCATCTCCTATTTCAACTGTGCTATGTATTGGCTTGATGGCATCTTGTTTGCCGTTTTGAAAGGCATTTAACGCGTGTTCAAGTTTCTGCAACAATCAAGCATTATATTTTCTCTCATGTTTCAAATAATCTTAATTGAAGAATAAATAATGATTAATACTTACTGCAAATGAAAGCATGATAGCATTATTGTTGCTGTATTTAGTGCTACTTTCAGCAGTGACGGGGCTCTTGTTTTTTTCTTCAGAGTTGTCAGTTTCAATAACATCCTGTATTTGAAATCAGAGAGAATGTGAAATTACATTTCAAACTGTTTATTGTAAACCCTGCTTTTAAAATACCTCCACAGTCGCGTCGCTGCTACCTGCTGAAAATGTGTCTCCATCAGGAAGTTGCAGAGAAAGTCCAGGTGGTCTTTGAAATAGTTCAACGCCATCCTCCTCGTCAGACTGCAGGGTAAAAGTATGTTTACTTATCTTCCGCTTTTGGCCAAACTCAAAAAACGTGTTAACGTTTAGGGAAGCTCGCTGTTAGCTTTACAATGATACCGAGCTAGCTTAACTTTAGCTAACGAACTAGGTTAGTTAGCTAGGTTAACTCATGTTAGCTTTTTTAACAAAAAGTTAGGCATTACATACCGATAATGTTGAATCGAGGGATGGTAAATACTGTTGCACCTTTTCAGAAATGGATTTCCAAAGGCTCCCTTCCATTGTTTTGTCACAAACGGTGCCAAAATGTTGGTTTAAACTTTCCTCTAATTGCAGTGATTTGCGCTTGATCAACGTTTTGTGGGCGCCATGGCAACGGGAACTCACCCGCTCTGTGCGACGTTCACGGTTGTGGCGGTTGTGGGAAAAGTACCTTGTCCTCTGTGTCATGCAAATATGCAACAATTTGCTGATTCATTACAGCTATTCAATGTTAGAAAGAGTGGCCACGAGGTAAGTATTAATAAATATTGCACAGCTTCATGTCTGCCATTAGATATCTCCATATTGTAAATTAAATCTTTTTTATTATTATTGTTGTTAATAGAGCAGCCACGATAGCCCTAGATCCATGCGATAGCCTCGTTAGCTTCTAACCACTACATGCTTCATGTATGCTTGTTTTTGTCATAGATCTATTAGGTTTTTGTTTGTTTGTGTCTTTGAAAGGAAATAATATGTTAAGCAGGTGTTTTGCTTATTTTTATTTCTCAATCTCTTTGAACAACAGTGCAAACTAATGCAGACAATAAACATACAGTGAAATCACACATTCCTTTTGACTTTAAATTCCGTATTACATGAAAGATTAGAAATTGAATATATAGATCTGTAAACAAATAGTGTTTGTCAAGGAATCATCACCCTACCTTATTGTTATAGTGCACATTAGGGCTCTTTATTTCTGACTAATCCTCAACCTATGTTGCTAAATGTTAATGCTCTTGTGGTTTTTCTTCCAGTTTGGAGATTAAAAACAAATGACTATCAGACTAGCAGCTGTGAAAATGTTCACTGTCTATGTCTCGCAGGTCTTGGCCAGCGAGAGGAGTTGGGCTAATGCATGTAATGTTGTTGTATATTGTAATAGTTGTATCTGGCTCTTCACCTTCTGCATGAGTTTCAAGTTGTCGAGGTACAACCAATGCATTCCTCTTGCTGTATTCTCTAAGTGGGAGAGAGTTGCAATCACATCTCCAGGGGTTTCCAGACAGTAGAAGTTTCTCCATACTCAATGGGAAATCTGGGATCAAGTTAACCAAGGCATTGTCTCTCAGATCAATAAATTGAAGTTTAGGGAGAACCTGCTTTGTATCATTCAACTCAAACAGCTGGCATTCGTTATTAGACAGTAGCAAGTACTCTAAACCTTTCAGACCAGCAAATGTTTGGACACTTAGTGTCTCCAGTTTGTTTGAGCGCAAATCTAAACCTGACAAATTTACCATTTTGATAAAACTATTACGTTCTATCACTGAGATATTGTTATGTTGTAAAAATATTCGGCGAAGACCAGAAAGTCCGGTGAATGCTTGAGATGTGATTCTAGAAAGGCAGCCTCTATCCAAATGAAGGCTGTGAAGCTTGGGTAGGCCTTTGAAAACCTGGTCTGGTAGTGTGATGAAACAACTCCCTGAAAGATTTATAACTGCGACATGGGACAGCCCTGCAAAACTTCCCATTTGTGCCACCTGGACTTGATTGTGATCTAGTTCTAGCACTTCCAGATTACCAAGTCCTTCAAATATCCTGTCACCCAATGATCGAATTCTATTGTGGCTAAGCCTAAGCTCTTCTAAAAACTGCAGATCACGGAAAGTTCTGGGACGTATTCCATTGATGGTGTTATTGGACAGACGTAACACATGAAGACTATGAAGACCCAAGAAAGTATCATCATGCAAAGTAGTTAGTTTGTTATTTGTAAGGTCTAGCCATCTCAGAGACTTCATGCCCATAAAAGCTCTGGGCGCCACTGTTACAATCTGATTCTGAGCCAGATAGAGCTTTTGCAGTTTGGTAAGTCGGATAAACACATTTGCTTTGATATTTTTGATAGAATTCCCTGTTAGATCTAGCTCTTTTAACTCTACAAGGTTTTGGAAAAGTTGGGGTTGCACATAAGACAGTCTGTTCCCAGCCAGAATCAGCTCTCGCAGACCGTGGAGGTCCTGGAAGGCTGTCTCGGGAAGCACAGATATGGAGTTCCTACCCAAATTCAGAAGCCACATGTTGGACAGCCCTGCAAAAAGTCTCTCCTCAATACGAACAAGCTGGTTGTTGTGCAGGCTCAATGACGCAAGGTTCGGGGTACTCTGGAAAACGGTTCCTGGTATTGTTCTCAGTCTGTTTCTTTCAAGATGAACATGAGCAAGAGATCGTAGTCCTCGAAATGCTTGAGAGTCAATGGTGGCTAACTGTCCACTTTGAAGGTTTAGAAAATCCAAGTTGGAAAGGTCTTTTAAACAGTTGGCCGGCAGTGATGTGAAAAAGTTTCCATCTAACCAAAGTGAATGCGTGGAAGTCGGCATGTCGCTTGGGACCTGTGTCAGGTTTTTTAAGCTGCAGTAAACATTGAGCTCCAGACTGTAGTCATCGTAAAGGCAGGTGCATGACTTTGAACATGGGATGGGCTCTTCTGTTCCCCTCTCAGTCTCCGCTGAGCTGTCCGGAGTGGACTGCACAAACAGGACCCCCTGCGCCAACAACACCAGCAGGACAATTGCTTTCATACTAGAAAACATGAAAACAAGTGTGCCGTCAATGCACAAAGAATTGTCACACTATACATATTTCTGAATTGTGTCTTTATGCATCTTACCTTGCAGCTGCTGGCCTTGGTTAAGTGTTTATAGGGTTTAACACTGATGTCCGACCCTTGTGCGTGTGTTTGTATGCAGAGGCCTCCCCCCTCCACAACTCAATGTTTCCGGTGAGTCAATAAACTGTAATGATTAACGCTTTCATTTCCATTATTCCACCATTGTCTTTTAAAAACTTAGTTTGGAATTATGTTTATATGAATGATACAACATTACTTTGATGGATGACAGACAAAGAATTATGATGAATTCAATTGACTGTTTTTAAGCGTATATTTCGTATTTCATATGTTATTATGTAATATTTATTGTCATTATCCAAACACAATTTATGAATGCATTAAGCTTGTGTGACGGAGAATGGCCTTTGATGTTTGCAGAGGCACAGTCATTGGGTCCACTGTAGATCTGAACTGATCCAGTGGCATAGAGATAACACACTTATTTGGAGAAACTACATCCAATATTATGTAACTTTTCCTTTCATACAGGTATTCAGACATAGTCCCAATGTGTTTTTTCACACAGATTGTCATAGTTACATTTTACAAATAATTTCCTGTATAATATGAATTGTATTGATTGGTGACACTGTGCAGAATATGACCGGGGTATGAGGTCTGTTTCCCAATCATAGGTATGACTATAATGACTAACTTAATGTTTACTCTGTTCTTGGTTGCTGGATTCTTTTTAGCCAACTATGAACCTTCTTGCCAAGCTCTAAAGTACAACATTCTTTGACAACATCAGGCTTTAGTTTCCTTAAATAACATCTAAACAAAAAATATGTAGTCATAGAGCAACAACTTCAGAAATTCTCTGAAGTTGTAAGTGAAAAATTGTAAGTGAAGTGAAAAAGCATTCCACCTTGTTTGACCAGTATCAAAATGCATTCACAGTCATTACCAGTAGAGGGAACTGTGTTGTCTATGTAAACAGCACATACATACAGTGCCTTGAGAAAGTATTCATTCCCCTTGAACTTTTTCTTATTGTAGAAAACAAAAAGAAGGAAAAGAAGCATAAATGAAAAAGCTTCTTAAAAAATACCTGAATTTTGTACCATCCAACTTCCCAGAAACTCTGTCCCTGTCTGAAGAAGGCACTGAAATGTCATCCATTGCTAAAATGTTTTGCATTTAGGCTAAAAGGATAGACTTTTGTCTCATCTGACCAGAGTATGTGTTCCCACATGTTGAATGAGTCCCACCAAGGGACCAATTTCAACACTGGCTTTCTCTTTACCACTCGTCCATACTGGACAGATTTGTAAAGTGTATAACGAATATTTTCCCAATGCAGATACTTTTTCCATTCCCGGATGATGGATTAGATTGAGCTGGGAAATCCTTATCCCTAACTTATGTCTGATCTGTTATTTGGACTTCATGATGCTGCTTAGTGACAGACATCTGAGTCCACCACAAAACAGTCGCATTTATACTGAGATTATATTACGCTCTAGAGGAGGTCAGAGTTGGCACCTCTAACCGCCCATAGAGGTGGAAAGATGAGCAAAGTTCTGTTCCTCAAAATGAATATGAATAACTCCATAACTTTTATGTGTCTCAATTCAACTCTAATCGTGTTGTTTTGTCTCAATCTCTCTTCACAAACACATTTGTTCATCCAATTAGCATTAACATTGTAGCAGTGTTTTGTCTCGAGTATTTGTTCTATTTTTATCAAAGACACCAAGAGAACCGTTAATGAGTAAGTATGTTCATTAATTAGCTTGGCTGCAGAGAGAAAACTTTATTTATATGGTGCTGTAAGTTCTGTTATTAGTTTTGTAAAACTTCCAAAATAATGGGAAAAAATGACACTTTCAAAATCTCTGCCATTGTTTACAGATATATACTCTAGTCCAGTGGCTAGAAGCACATCCCTACTCAAATAAAGCTGGATCTCGTCTCTTTTGGCAGGCTATGCAATCTAAAGCATCTTTCATTTCTTTTTTTTTTGCATTGAGTAACTCTTGCATTATTAAAATAGGAATTCATAATTGTATGGTATAATATTGAGTGAATAATGTCACTCAAATACATTCATTACGTCGATATATTATTATGATCAAAATCAGTTTGGATGACCTCATGACATCAACAAGATTTTCCAAAACTTCAGCTTTACTTATTTGTTAGTACTCGAGAAATTCTGTCTTGTGTGGTGTGCAGACAGTTGGAAATACTGGTTTCCTTAGCTACATGAAGGTATTAATATTACTAGACGACTGAATGGTGGTTCCAGGCTTTGACTTTTTGGAAGGACATTGTCTCTTTGTTGAAGTAGGAAAGATGGCGGATCAGTCTGTTTTATAATTGAATGTGACAGGTGTGTCCGGAGAATGAGGCAGCTGAGGGCATCATTTCACTGTGACAGTTGGTTTGAGCTGCACTGCTCAAGTGTATGAAGCTGACAACAAAGCATAGCAGCATTTCGGGAAAATATTACAAAAAGCATTCTCTAATTAAGTTTTAGCTGTGTTTTTCATTTACATTCTCACATTCATTTACATTATCACAGACTGTACAACGGCCAATGTCCTTTTTCTTGTTTTTGTTTGGTCCGACAAGGTTCATTTGATCTCAATCCAATCCTCTAATGTTGGAGGAGTTGCATTCAGCCATTTCCTTGTTATGGCCGTTTTACTGGCTGCATATAGTATTTTAATTATGATTTCATTGATTAAGATTTATGGATAGATTTTTAAATTGACCATGCTTCCAATATTGCAGAACTGAACTGAGATCATAATACAAACAAAACTAAAGTATACTATTTTCATGGACATATTTCAAATCCTGTTTTGAATATGGATATGAAATCAACAGATTTGGTTTCCACTGTATATTCCATGTTTGAAATTATTAACTATTTTCATCTGTGGTGGAAATATTACCCATTTATCTCTGGTGATGAAATCCAATAGACTTGTAGATGTATCTGTGTTCATTAGTCCATGGAAGCTTCTTATTCTCTCACTCTTTCTGTGCGTTGAATAGACCCATTGTTGTGTCTCTGGAGATGGCCGTCTGCATTTCTGTATGAACGCTCAAAATCCCATTCTTTCTTTTTCCTGGCACCTTGGTTCTGCTCATTACGTACTCGGACAAAAGACCAATGGCAGATTATGTTAAAATCATCTTATTATGTTCCATAGATCATAGTTGTGTGACCTTGCCAGGATGTTCTAGGTTGACATACCTCTAAAGTTGACTTTCTACATATGCAGAAACATTATGTGTGACTTTTTATAATGGTATTACACCTGGTATGCTGATATACAAAAGATGATGGAATTGTTATAGTCTATGTCTAATGATGGTGACTTGAAAAACAGACACAATAGGAGTGTAGTGTAGGAGAGGCATGTTTGAACTATAAATCATTGCTGTTTTTCACTTGTCAGTAAGCACTTTGGAAAGCCTAGGCTGTTGAGATTATTGGTTATGAGTGTTTGGGCTTATTAACTTTTAAAGGCGCACACAGAACACGCGCGCGCACACAGAAGATAATTCTCAAGATTATTAGTATTAACGTGGCTCTGTTCTTTTGCAGAAGCCGGTCCCTGAAGTTCTTGTACAGACAGAGGCCCCTGAGACATGTACAGTATGTAAATGTAATCAGGTCGGGCGACGTTATAGCATTAGCATTAGATCTAAACGTGGAACATGTATACTAATGATATCAGGGACATGATTGTAATCTAAAATTGATTGCATGCAAAATAAAAATGTTGAGAGCAGTCAATAGTCTTATTTTGATTGTTGGAATATAGCCATAAGAAACAAAGGTGGGCAGCCATTCCAGTTTCACAGACCAAAGTGAAATTATAGACTGGTTTAGTTTCCCTTCTGTGGAAAAGTTAACAAAAAATAATACATGAAATGGATTGTAAACAAATGAAATACGTATACATGCTACCATCACAGTCCTACAAACATCTACATAGATTGTTTGAGGCTTCGAAAATCTCCTCTTGACTGTGGGAATTACTCTATTCTGTTTGGCCTGACTCACCCGTTTAAATGTTATTCATAAACACAAAATCAACAAAACGACAAACAAAAGACCTGTTCCAGTCTTTCTCTGCCGTAGCCTCAGATCTCGTGTCTTTGTCTTTTTGATGAGAAATTGGATTTTGCTATTTATTTTTTTTTTCTAAGGGATCTAAACAGTATTTCCCCGTGGTTAGTTAGTTAAACAGAAAAAACTGATTTTAACAACTCAAGGCTCGGAACCAAACATTCTATCTCTACTTTTTGTACATAGTATAGTATGATGTTGTATAGTGATTCAGCCGACTCTTCTTTACATGTTTGCAAAAGATATGTTTCCTTAATACATGAAGACAACTTTGAATATATATATTTTATGTAATTCTTCAAAATATTTGTGTTTTTTGGAGATTTTTCAGTTGATAATGTGGCCCATGTCTACACTATGTTTTGACCTCTTAATGAATCTCTTATCTTGTCCATGCACTTCCTGCTCTTCTCTTAGCTTATACATTCCAATGAGACAAATGTTATTCTAAACTTTGATCCAGTTGTTTGCATTTGTTTTTACAAATATTGTCAGAAACTTGAAATAAACGGCCGATACTTTCCACATTGGTCCATACTGTATAGGTGTCGTGGACATCACAGTGTGTGTCTGGCTGTGCTGTATGTGACTGATCTAGGTTATTGTGCTGATTAAATTTCCATTAAGATCCTTCTGAGTGCAAGGAAACATCAGTGGCTAATTAACAAGAAAGTCCCTGGTGTCTTTAGAGAAAGACAGCGCTCTCTGGGGTGTTTGAAAATCTGTGCATTCAATCGAGCGCTCTGTAAACAGCTAAATGACTGTATAATGTATAATGAGCCAATAATGCAGGTTTGTCATAACCAGGTGGTAATGAGTCACTATTTATTTTACTATTGTACTTTGCAATAGTGGCATGATGTTAATGCAATACTGTCTGAAGCAGCAGATTTTCCAAACAGTTAGAAAGCACACAGGGCATAGAATAAATCATAATTTTAATGGATACAGTCTGATGAATAAATATACAATACAGGTTCAGGTGTATATTTGCTTCACTGTTTTACTATATTTGAAAATCTAAACCAATTTAATTTCAAAATTATCTTCTATAAAAAATGTATCTTAGATCCTTCGAGAATATAACATCGATAACATAAAATAATACATGTTAAAACCCCTTTAGGTGCCAAATAGTAGAATTTCGGGCACTTCCTATACAGTGGCATGGAATACCACAAAAAAATCTTCAATGTGATATTTTCTTTCATTTATGACAGAACTTCAAGGCCTAAAGTGTCTTAAGTTGTGATGAATACAAATCATCGGTAAACTACATTGATCTCTTTGAACCTTTTTGTGGTTGACCAAATATTAGTTTTTTTGCATATTTGTAAACAGTTTATTTTATTTTACTTTATTAACACACACTTACATTGTAAAAAATAATGAAGAAACAATGCAAAATTTACATTATTAACTGTATGATCAACAGCCTCAAAATCTGTAGTAAATGTCACATTCAAATAGATGTGTTGCACTTTTAAAACCATGCAATATTTATGTTATGTGTATTTCACGGTTTCACATGTTTAAATCTGGGAGTATGTTTAGGTTCCAGGTTTAAGGATTGCATTTGAGAATTTGTTTTGTCCCAGCCAAAAGGTTTTTGTTGTGCATGACTGAGATGGATGCATTATTTCGTAGTCATAGTAACAGTCGGTGGTGATATAGTGGAAGAAAAAGCAGGTGTTGAATATGTCTCTGCAGTTATAGCTTGTGCATTGTGCTTCCAATAACAACTTCATTCATGTTCTAATGAAGACTTTTGCATCTCACTTTCAATGAAACTTCAACCCAAAACTTACACCGCTTTCTTCTGTCTTCGACTAAAAGAAACCTCTACATGCCGACAAATTACCAAACATTACCATCGACCGTTTTTGCCTCCTCAAATTAAGTGCAAAAACGTGCCTTCAAACACATAGATGCATCATATTCCATGGACAAAATAAATTCTACACACAGATTACAAGCTTGTGTCTCACTTTTCAGCCAGTCTGCAGTCCTTACCCCCTCACACTGTCACCTCGGTCTTACTGTTGGTGACAAAGTATGGCTGCGGCGGCATGTAGCGCGTGGTGTGCAGCTCTTTCTCTATCACGCAGAGTTTCTGAGGTGTGTAAGCTTGTCTGAGACCGAGCGTGTCGCGGCTGTCCCAGGAGCGGAGCAGGGCGGGGCTGCTGCTGCTGTAGTATAGGGACTGGGAGCTGTGGCTACGTGGGGGGCGGGGCTTGTGCCGGCTCTGCCTGAGGGAGGGGTGTCTGGGTGGGCTGTACGGGTTACTGGGCTCCAGCTCCTCCAGAGACTCCATGGGCAGGCTGCCTCTGAGGGACATCTCCAACGAGTGCTGTCTGAAGTTGTAGAGGTTCACTTTATCTGCTGAAAACATGTCAGGAATAGCACTTACTGGATGGGTAAAAGCTGTAGTATAGTAAGAAGAGAAAAAAAAACACGTTTAGGACTCCTCGAGCTCTGTAACCGTTTGTGTAAACGTAAATGCACAGGTTATGTTCAAAAATAGATTTGAAATGTAAAGAAACTGACAATTTACACCAGTAGCAATGTTACTTGTTTTGCTGGTGGTAAACAGACATGTATTTTAGGAATGGACTAAACGAGTGCTGACGTCACCCATAGTATTAGCCTTAATGCAGAAGAGGCTGATTTGGACATTAACTAGCTAGCGAGCAATTTCCTTCTGCGACGTTAGCTTTTTGCCGTAACAGGAGGTAGATGTTGCCAAGACGATTATTAAGGCAAATTGGAGTTTCTGTTTGGTCAAAATCTTTTTATGGATCATACATCGTACAGACACTATGTAAACTCCAGGATCAGAGGGAGCGCTAATCTACAGATTTTTAACCCCAAAAGTCTGAATCCATGAGAACGTCCTTAGGAGCCTCATTGAGACAGGTGGTGAGCATTGTCCATGGCATCTACATACAGCCCATGGGTCACAATCCCAGTTTTTGGGATTTAAAATTGTTTATGTGATTGTGATGTTCATATTTCAGTGTCTCGTTAAATTCATATATGATCCCTCGCAAATCAGGTGCCTTCTGTCCCTAATCTCTGCTTCGGCAAGCAAGTAGCAAAAAACAGGAAAGGACTGGAACTCCTGGAATTCATGGTTAGCAGGGTTTTTAATGTACACACAACCAGACCAAGTAGTGAGTAGAGTAGGTGGAAATATGGGGCTCAAGTTAGGGAGACACCTTGTTTACCCCTTAACCGGTACAATTATAAACATCTTTCATTGGTATTATATTCATGAAGATATGATCACCTCATAGGGGCTGGTGCTATGAGACTTGGGTGGCATCTCTGACTGCCACCCCCCTGACCCAGAAATGGATTAAAGGGTAGAAGATGGATGGATGGAAGATATGATCAATTAGTGTTGTTCCTGATCCTATTACACGATCTCAAAAGAAGAACAAAGAGTTTCTCTGTCTGTCTCTTCACATAACCTCAGCAGTGAACCCTTTCATTTAGAGTGCTGATTCTATGTCCAGTGATTTGTGATGATAATCATGAGTACAGTTAGGTGTGATCTGTACAAAATGCTAATGACTTGCTCTTAATAATAGTATAGTACAGTTCTTCATTGTGACCTTCGGTGCCTTTCTAATTTACACTTATTGATTCACATCACAGATCACAAACATAATATGCTATAAATATGGACTTGATCAACAATGAACAACAGATAATATTATGTATCTATTACAAACAGATACCTGCCTACAAAATATTTTGGTAATACATTTCTATTAATAATTCATAACTTTGTTGGTTGCTGATTCCACCACTCAAGGTGTTATTTGCACCACCAAACACTTTATCAACTTTATCACTCCAAAGATAGCCTCAAACAAAATATTTTTACCCTTTTTCAGTCTTGCAAAGCCTTTCTGCACACTGCTTTCCTTCATCGTCTCTATTATTACTCATCAAAAGCCTTCTGTATAAGCTTTTGAAAATGTTTTGATTAAAAAAAATCTATAAATAATCTCCTGGTGCCTTTGCCTTTTTATAGAAACAGGATTAACTCACAGATTTTTAAACCATCTGCATCTTTATCTAACATTTGAAAAGAATCATATTTGTTGTCTCACCTACAGCCTTGAGTGTGGCGTATGTGTTGATGTCAGTGACTGGCAGCTGGTGGTCGTAGGGGCTGCTGAGGTCTGGGACGGGATAAGGTTGTGGTATTAACGTGGATGCTTGGCTTGAGTTATTCAGTTGGTCATTATCTGTGAAAAAAAAGAAGAATTTGCACAAGAATATGACAACTATAGAAGATTATTGGATGGATCAGAATCCATCAGAAGCATAATGTCGGCGATATGAATGATCTTAGTTAAGCAGTGATTGGTAGGTTTTCACGACCCATGCTTATCAGAATGATAAAACATTATTTCCATTGCCAGTGATTGACAATTAAAAACAAGAACAGATTATATGTAAAAGTTCTTCTAAATTATTTAATAATTCAACTTTTATGTAGCCAAGAACATCCCGCTGAGATTCAAAGATCTCTTCACGCATTCGCAATACAACCCTCAAAAACATTTATACAAATCATCAATACATTCAGTTATTTAAAAACGGAATTTATTGATGACAATTCTGAAGGACAAGTCATTGTTTGCATTTCCAGGTCTTTCAGAAGGCTTCCAAAATGTTCTATTGGTTTATTAGTTTTCTGTAAGACATTCCAGCCTGAAGTTTTGCAATACGTGCGAGGTCTGTCAGACATGTGCTTCAGTGGAAACCGGAAGTTTACACAATGTAATAAGAATATGATTTCAGCGACAGATGCAGTAAGCTAGTCTACAGTATTAAAGAGCTGCAGTTCATATTATAACTGAAACTAATCCCGCTGCTTTTGATGACAATTAGTAAGATTTGATAATGTATTTATGTCCAACAGGTAGTCAGAGGAGAACCAAACATGCGCCATATTACATTAGTTATGTGTTCATCAAGGTGCTCTGATTTCTTACTCCAGGGCTCTGTCAACTGCATGTCTTGAGATTGTATTGCTTTGCCTGAATTCTAAATTCATTTCTTACACATAGCCTCTCCACATATCTGACCTTTAAATAATACCAGAGATGATCAAGATATATACCTTTTAATGTCATGTACCGAGTGCCATTTTTAAAGGAACAGTATATAATATGCACTCTTTGTGCTCTATATTAAAATACAATCACCAGTTTGTTCTGGTGTCACAGGCAGAATCTTTCTGGAGCAACAATGTACAACCAGAACAACATGAAGCTTCTAAGCATAGATTACAGATGCAATCCACTTGCTGGCGTTTATCTAGGAACAGTAAATGCTGTGTGTTATGCACTACTCATAAGAAATACTACTTATTTGGACCTGGTTATTTTAAAACAAAATTGCGGTGTGATTTTTTTGTGTGTGCGAAAATCCTACTAAATTTCAAACTTGTTACCCATAAATATTATGGACATGCATGCCCATTGTATTTTTTATTAGGAATAACATTAAACTTCTGTTCTGAAAAGGAAACTTATATACATGTTGACCTATTATCTGAGAACACATTTAACAGGATGCCGCTGTCAGACCCTCCACAAACCGACTTCTCAGTGCTATATATTGATAGATAAATGGTGATGTGTCTCCTGTGCCACTGTCACTAAACTAGACCTTCGTTGGGTGCCAGCTGCGAGGCCATGACTGTTCATTGTGGGACTGTGGTAATCCTACAGAAGACATCTGCTAAATTAAAGGGTTTGTCATGAACAGACTGGCCTCCTGCCTTCTGCGCTGGCATGACGGCACACACAGATGTTCAATGCGTCCACCGAGCTTCAGCAGTCTACAGCACCACAGTGAGGTTGGTAAAGACTGAACAGAATCTCCTCACAATCGACTTTCTATTTAGATACTCAGGTTTGCTAGTGTGACATAACGAGGGTTAAAAGTACAGGTTAAACATTTTGCTATTGTCAACAACGCCACCTAGGATAGGCCTAGGACCCTGCACAAGGCAGACACAGGTTCGCTTCCCTTTTTAAAGTGATGGGGGCAGAGACAAAACCAAAACTTGACTACAAAAGTACAACATTTATTTTCATTAATACATTTTTAAGTTAGGAACATTCGATTAATAATGGTAATTGCCAAAAGCCAAACACAAAAAAACACATGCACACACACACACACACATGCAAAGGACAAAGAAAAAAAAGATTAAACAATCCTAATCTCAATTACAGTTAAAATGTACAAATTTACAGTTTGGGTGTCCAGGTGCTCTGTGGGCCTAATATTGATGATCAGTGTCCACAACTGGAGCGACTCTGGCCTGTGGGGTCAATCCAGAGCAGTGGAGGCAGGAGGAGCTGCGCCGGTGGAAACGGGGCTCAGAATTTGTGTACTTGTGATGATTGGCAGTCTCCAAACTGCCGCGGGAGGTTGCAGCTCGGTCCCGCTGAAGTGCAGGGAAGCTGGGGTTAGACCACTAAAGATTAGAATTTGAGTATACATCAGGCAATAACGGCAACTCACCAATCAGAGAAAGCACCGGTCCCCCAGACCCCGAACGGAGGCGCGCTCTCAACCTCCGCTGTGCGTAATTTAGCACCAACTAAATTAAAATGAGCTGTTAGGGTGACTGGGGACAGCCAAATGGGTCAGAGGGAAGATGGCACCATGCTTACCCACAAGTAACGTCTGAGAAGCACAACGGGCTCACACAGGCCCTTCACTAAGGTTTGCCACACTGGAGGAGCTGGCCACACTGGAGCAGGAGGAAAGCGCGTGAGTGCCAAATGCGCGCAAGTGGAAGTGTGGGATAAATGATGCGCACTCACCAAAACGAGCAGAAGGCGTTTCCCAGGGCAGCGCTCACGCCGCACAAGCCCACATACGTGCCAACAGGGCCACCAACCACTGTGTGAGGCTCCCCACCAGCACAACTCCACGGACCCAAAGAGACTGCTGCTTCCCGCAGGAGTGGCAAAAGAGTGAGCGCCCTCAGGCTCAGGCTTAAAAAAAAACAACCCACAGGTCCTGCCCCTGCAATTAGTGGCAGGCAGGTGCGTGAGGTGGTGTTTCAATGAAACAGGTAAGGGGAGGGCAGACTCACTCCACACTGCTACATCTACCCCCCACCTTTGTATCGTCGTCCCGACGATAGACAGTTAGGACCACGGCCGAAAGATGGCAGCCTGAAGGTTGGAGCTAGGATTCGACGCGCCACCGTGTTCACGTATCAATGGCCGAGTATGACGAGGGAGCCGGTAAATGTTTGAATGTTGGCCCGCACCATGGCGGGTGGTGCGACGCAATGTTGGGTGGTCCGGGTCAACCAAAGGGGGCGCCTCATGACCAGGTAGTACAGCGGTGAAAGTAGCCTGACCGAGATCTGGCCCAGACCTGGGGGGAACACAAGGTGGTGCACTGGGAGCACCCACTGGCCCATTAGTTTCAGAAACCAGGAGCCACACATCACTACTTGAAGAGTCATCAAGAGGGGTCACTTCTGGTTCCGATGGGGAGTGGGGCGCCAGATGTGCCACCTCTGCAGGTTTCACCACTGGTTTCAGCATGTCACGATGCAAGTTCCTAGCTCTACCCAAATCATCTACCGGGGCCACTGAGTAAACTATACCCTGTCCAGGTGGGACACGCACAACCTGATGGACCACTGGGCTCCAAAGATCTTGGATCTTGTTTCGCCCTCTGGCACTATGGTCCCTCACATAGACATGCTGACCCACCACCAGTGGTGTGTCCCGCACATGTAGATCATGCCGCTCCTTCCTGCGGTTTGCAGCCACCAGAAGCCTCTCACGAGCACAACTGAAAGCAGCTCTCAGCCTCTCCTGGTGTTCTGCTACCCAGCCTTGCACCTCGCCTGGCCTTGGCTCATCAATTCTCCCCAGGAGGAAGTCAATCGGGAGCCTTGGCTCTTGACCAAACAGCAGGTAGTATGGAGACTCCCCAGTACCCTGATGAGGTGTGGTGTTGTAGCAGAAGAGCACCTGAGGTAAACAAGCAGCCCAGTTACTCTTCTGTGGCAATGGTAACGTGCGAAGAAGGTTATGAAGTGTGCGATTAAATCGCTCACATTGGCCATTGCCAGCCGGATGGTACGGCGTTGTTCGCGACTTTTCCACCCCATACAATGAGCAGAGCTGTCGAATCAAGGCACTCTCGAAACTCCTCCCCTGGTCAGAATGCAAGCGACTTGGAACCCCAAACTTATAAAACCACTCTGAAATCAACACATGGGCCACTGTAGGAGCAGTTTGGTCTCGTGTAGGAACCGCAATAGTAAACTTACTAAACACATCAGTCATAACCATGACATTCTCATATCCATTTCGCGAAGGTTCTAGCAATGTGAAATCTATGGCCAAGATCTCATTTGGGCGGGAAGCTAGCAGGTGACCCATGTAACTGCGTGACCCCTGTCCGGTGTCCTTTGCCACCTGGCACCGCTCACATTCCTGTACCCAATTCCGGACGTCATTGAACATTCCCGGCCAATAGCACCTCTGACGGACCAATTCTGCGGTCCTTTCCATGCCCTGGCTGGGTAGCAGAACACCAGGAGAGGCTGAGAGCTGCTTTCAGTTGTGCTCGTGAGAGGCTTCTGGTGGCTGCAAACCGCAGGAAGGAGCGGCATGATCTACATGTGCGGGACACACCACTGGTGGTGGGTCAGCATGTCTATGTGAGGGACCATAGTGCCAGAGGGCGAAACAAGATCCAAGATCTTTGGAGCCCAGTGGTCCATCAGGTTGTGCGTGTCCCACCTGGACAGGGTGTAGTTTACTCAGTGGCCCCGGTAGATGATTTGGGTAGAGCTAGGAACTTGCATCGTGACATGCTGAAGCCAGTGGTGAAACCTGCAGAGGTGGCACATCTGGCGCCCCACTCCCCATCGGAACCAGAAGTGACCCCTCTTGATGACTCTTCAAGTAGTGATGTGTGGCTCCTGGTTTCTGAAACTAATGGGCCAGTGGGTGCTCCCAGTGCACCACCTTGTGTTCCCCCCAGGTCTGGGCCAGATCTCGGTCAGGCTACTTTCACCGCTGTACTACCTGGTCATGAGGCGCCCCCTTTGGTTGACCCGGACCACCCAACATTGCGTCGCACCACCCGCCATGGTGCGGGCCAACATTCAAACATTTACCGGCTCCCTCGTCATACTCGGCCATTGATACGTGAACACGGTGGCGCGTCGAATCCTAGCTCTAACCTTCAGGCTGCCATCTTTCGGCCGTGGTCCTAACTGTCTATCGTCGGGACGACGATACAAAGGTGGGGGGTAGATGTATCAGTGTGGAGTGCGTCTGCCCTCCCCTTACCTGTTTCATTGAAACACCACCTCACGCACCTGCCTGCCACTAATTGCAGGGGCAGGACCTGTGGGTTGTTTTTTTTAAGCCTGAGCCTGAGGGCGCTCACTCTTTTGCCACTCCTGCGGGAAGCAGCAGTCTCTTTGGGTCCGTGGAGTTGTGCTGGTGGGGAGCCTCACACAGTGGTTGGTGGCCCTGTTGGCACGTATGTGGGCTTGTGCGGCGTGAGCGCTGCCCTGGGAAACGCCTTCTGCTCGTTTTGGTGAGTGCGCATCATTTATCCCACACTTCCACTTGCGCGCATTTGGCACTCACGCGCTTTCCTCCTGCTCCAGTGTGGCCAGCTCCTCCAGTGTGGCAAACCTTAGTGAAGGGCCTGTGTGAGCCCGTTGTGCTTCTCAGACGTTACTTGTGGGTAAGCATGGTGCCATCTTCCCTCTGACCCATTTGGCTGTCCCCAGTCACCCTAACAGCTCATTTTAATTTAGTTGGTGCTAAATTACGCACAGCGGAGGTTGAGAGCGCGCCTCCGTTCGGGGTCTGGGGGACCGGTGCTTTCTCTGATTGGTGAGTTGCCGTTATTGCCTGATGTATACTCAAATTCTAATCTTTAGTGGTCTAACCCCAGCTTCCCTGCGCTTCAGCGGGACCGAGCTGCACCTCCCGCGGCAGTTCGGAGACTGCCAATCATTACAAGTACACAAATTCTGAGCCCCGTTTCCACCGGCGCAGCTCCTCCTGCCTCCACTGCTCTGGATTGACCCCACAGGCCAGAGTCGCTCCAGTTGTGGACACTGATCATCAATATTAGGCCCACAGAGCACCTGGACACCCAAACTGTAAATTTGTACATTTTAACTGTAATTGAGTTTAGGATTGTTTAATCTTTTTTTTCTTTGTCCTTTGCATGTGTGTGTGTGTGTGTGCATGTGTTTTTTTGTGTTTGGCTTTTGGCAATTACCATTATTAATCAAATGTTCCTAACTTAAAAATGTTTTAATGAAAATAAATTTTGTACTTTTGTAGTCAAGTTTTGGTTTTGTCTCTGCCCCCATCACTTTAAAAAGGGAAGCGAACCTGTGTCTGCCTTGTGCAGGGTCCTAGGCCTATCCTAGGTGGCGTTGTTGACAATAGCAAAATGTTTAACCTGTACTTTTAACCCTCGTTATGTCACATTTGGCGTTGCTGGCAGGATTCCGCTAAGTTAAAGGGGCAGAGACTTTTTTTTGTTTGTTTTTTTGTTAACTTTCCTATTTAATTCCTGTAAAAAAAAAAAAAAAAAAAATCCAGAGCAGCGGTGGTGGTGTTGGGACCCAAAAATTTTTTTTTCTTCAGGACCTTTGGCAGTTTCTTGAGCTGACATGGAAGAAGTGCAGCAGCTAAAAGATCTTGTTTTACAGCTTCAGGCGGATAATGAGCGGCTCCGTCGGGATCGTGCTGGTTCCTTGGACCCTGGCGAGGGCGCCTCTCAGTCCTCCGCTTCACATGCACAGTCCCCCACCCCTGCTGTAGCGGAGCGGTTGTTGGTGGTACCAAGGGACCGCAAGTGCCCCATCTTTAATGGGAAGGCTGGCTTGGGGATCGCTGAATGGGTCGAGGAGGTTGAGGCATGTATGCGGGCCCGACATTTGACTGCTGTGGACCGGGCTCTTTTCATCTTTGACCACTTGGAGGGAGAGGCTAAACAGGAGATCAAGTTTCGTCCCGCTGATGAACGTAGCGACCCAGGTAAAATCTTGTCCATTTTAAAGGAGCTCTATGGTTGCCATCAGTCTTGCATAACTTTGCAACAGGACTTCTTTGCTCGGCGTCAGATGGAGGGTGAGAGCCTTCAGGAATTTTCACTAGCTTTGATGTCCCTGATGGCGCGAGTTAGACTGCAGGCCCCAGACGGAATGCCAAATGCAGAAGTGTTGTTGAGAGATCAATTTACAGAACATGTACTGGATTGTGCTCTGCGCCGCGAGCTTAAACAGCTGGTTCGAAGGCAGCCCCACACTTACTTTGATGGAGCTTCGTGCTGAGGCGATGAGGTGGGAACGTGAGGGCCAGCCAGGGGGCGCTCGGGGTCGTAGCTATTCCTTACCATCAGCTCTTGGCTTCCAATGTGGCGTGCAGGGTGGTGCCCAGACCAACCCTCCGGGTGGGCAGTCTGGGCCTACAATGAAAGAGCTTATGGATCTACTCAAGCAACAGCAGGAACAGTTGAATAAATTAACTCAAACAGTCATATCATTGCAGGCCCCTTCTCCACATGAGGATGGTTCACATTCAGTTCTCCTTTGCTGGCGATGCCAACAGCCTGGGCATTTTGCACGGGATTGTACTGGTCCCCGGGTTTACAATCAACCGCGAAGTAGGGTGGGTGGTCAGAGGTCAGGACATTCCTATGGGCAGTCGGAAAACTAGCACCCACTGAGTTGTTGAGCCGCAGCTCAGGCGGGGAGCCCTTAGGCTTACAGATAGACCCAGCCTGTGGACTGGTGGCGCCGTGCCCAAATATGGAAGTTTCCATTGGGGGTGTTTTGGTCTCTTGTTTGGTGGATACTGGTTCCATGGTTTCTACCATTACGGAGAGTCTGTTTCACGAGCAGTTTGCTGAATGGGGCCAAGATCGCCTTCGTTCCTGCAGCTGGCTTCAGCTTAAGGCTGCAAATGGACTGGAGATCCCCTATATCGGGTACTTAGAACTTGATGTGGAATTGTGCGGCAAAATTGTTTCACGCTGTGGGATTTTAGTGGTGAGGGCCCCCCTGGTGCAGTTTCTTCCACTCCTGGTATCTTGGGGATGAATGTTATACGCCGATGCTATGCAGAGCTTTTCAATGCACTGGGCTCTTCTCTTTTTGAGGCTCCTGCTGTAGTGGGGGCACCTCAACCTGTCATCATTGCTTTACAGCAGTGCCATGCTGCCGACTTGGACAGGGATGTGGCCACAAGTACGGTGAAGGTTCGAGGGAAGCGGGCAGTCAGAGTGCCTGGAGGAATGGTTAAGTTAGTGGCTGGCACTTGTTCAGAGAAGTTTGCAGGAGGTAATGTCTTGTTAGAACCCCCGGAGACTGGATTGCCTGCTGGTCTGCTTGTGTCATCTTGCCTAGTACGAGTGGTTCGTGGGACAGCGTATATTCCGGTTGTCAATGTGGGGACGAAGGCTGCTCTTCTCTACCCACGGACCACTCTTGGCAGGCTCAGCGAGGCACAGGTTGTCAGTCTGCCGGCCTGCATTACAGAGGATCGAACTACGACTGCCTCTGTGAACTCTCAGAACATTGGGCCCTCTATGCCTGAGAGAGTTGCATCATTGGAGCTACCGGCTCTGGTAGATCAGGACGCTGAAAGGGTGAGGGGTCTGTTGCGTGACTATGAATCAGTGTTTGCAACTCATGAAACTGATTTGGGCTGCACTAACCTTCTTTCACATGATATCCCTTTGGTGGACGAGGTTCCGATTAGACAGAGGTACCGTCGCATCCCGCCGTCAGAGTACGAGGCCGTTAAGGCTCACATCAACCAGCTGCTTGAGGCTCAAGTAATTCGTGAGAGCTGCAGCCCGTACGCCTCACCAATCGTTTTGGTGCGGAAAAAGGATGGCAGTTTACGCCTCTGCGTAGACTACCGCCTGCTTAACAGCAAAACGCGGAAGGACGCTTTCCCTCTGCCTCGGATCGAGGAGACACTAGACTCGCTATCTGGGGCTGTCTGGTTCTCAACACTCGACTTGGCCAGTGGCTACAATCAGGTCCCTGTGACGGAGGCAGATCGGCCCAAAACAGCCTTTTGTACCCCCTTCGGCCTTTTCGAGTTTAACCGCATGCCTTTCGGGCTGTGTAATGCCCCGGGCACCTTCCAGCGGCTGATGCAGAGGATGTTTGGGGATCAGCAGGGTCAGTCCTTGCTGCTATACCTCGATGACATCATAGTCTTCTCATCCTCTGTCGAACAACATCTCCAGCGGCTGGAAGTGGTGCTCGGGCGGCTTAGGACGGAGGGCCTAAAGGTGCGGCTCGAGAAGTGCTCATTCTTCCAGCGCGAGGTGGGGTACTTGGGCCATGTAATCTCAGATCAGGGGGTGTCTACTGATCCCAAAAAGATCGAGGCAGTGTCCCAGTGGAAGCGTCCCCAGAATGCCCCTGAGCTGCGCTCATTCTTGGGCTTTGCTAGCTACTACCGCCGGTTTGTGGAGGGGTTTGCTAAGTTGGCGGGCCCTCTACACCGGCTGGTAGCGGAACTGGCGGGCAGTAAATCAAAGAGGGGCTCGGGCAGTGTGCTTGGGGCTGCTTGGACGCTACAGTGTGAAGAAGCGTTTGAGGCCTTAAAAGCAAAGTTGGTGTCTGCGCCTGTCTTGGCGTATGCAGACTTTGCAAAGCCTTTTATTTTAGAGGTGGACGCTAGTTATAGTGGCCTGGGAGCTGTCCTCTCCCAAGAGACACCCAGTGGGGTGAGACCGGTGGCTTACGCTAGTCGTGGATTGCGGCCCACAGAGCGCAATATGGCAACTTATAGTTCCATGAAGCTCGAATTCTTAGCGCTCAAGTGGGCGATGACGGAGAAGTTTCGCGAATATTTGTTGGGTCACAGGTGCACAGTGTACACTGACAATAATCCGCTTAGCCATCTCCAAACCGCAAAGTTGGGGGGACAGAGCAGAGCAAGATGGGCCGCTCAGCTTGCTACCTTTGACTTTGAAATAAGGTACCGTTCGGGTCGAAGTAACAAGAACGCGGATGCTCTATCCAGGCAGCACCCGTCGGGCTCGGAGACCATGGCTCAATTGATGCCTGGTACCCAAACCCCCCTTCAGCTGCAGCATGGGCCGGTGCTATGCGACAAACTCACGGCCACCCAATCGCTGGTCTCTGCTCTCCCAAGCCACTCAGCGGCCCACCTTAGATCATTACAGGAGGAGGCCCCTGGTTAAGGGAGGTTCTTGGGTATTTGCGGCAGCAAACTAATCCCTCTCCTGCTGAGCGGCGTCTTCTTTCAAGGCCTGCCCTGGCCCTGCTGCGCCAACGTAAACGTCTGGTGGAACAAGAGGGAGTTCTCTTTCGCAAGACGTACCGTTCAGATGGGGGAGAGGAAATCTTACAGCTTCTCCTGCCAGTTTCTTTACGGGCTGAAACCTTGGGCAGTCTTCATCAACAACATGGCCATCAGGGCATGGAAAGGACCGCAGAATTGGTCCGTCAGAGGTGCTATTGGCCGGGAATGTTCAATGACGTCCGGAATTGGGTACAGGAATGTGAGCGGTGCCAGGTGGCAAAGGACACCGGACAGGGGTCACGCAGTTACATGGGTCACCTGCTAGCTTCGCGCCCAAATGAGATCTTGGCCATAGATTTCACATTGCTAGAACCTTCGCGAAATGGATATGAGAATGTCATGGTTATGACTGATGTGTTTAGTAAGTTTACTGTTGCGGTTCCTACACGAGACCAAACTGCTCCTACAGTGGCCCATGTGTTGATTTCAGAGTGGTTTTATAAGTTTGGGGTTCCAAGTCGCTTGCATTCTGACCAGGGGAGGAGTTTCGAGAGTGCCTTGATTCGACAGCTCTGCTCATTGTATGGGGTGGAAAAGTCGCGAACAACGCCGTACCATCCGGCTGGCAATGGCCAATGTGAGCGATTTAATCGCACACTTCATAACCTTCTTCGCACGTTACCATTGCCACAGAAGAGTAACTGGGCTGCTTGTTTACCTCAGGTGCTCTTCTGCTACAACACCACACCTCATCAGGGTACTGGGGAGTCTCCATACTACCTGCTGTTTGGTCAAGAGCCAAGGCTCCCAATTGACTTCCTCCTGGGGAGAATTGATGAGCCAAGGCCAGGCGAGGTGCAAGGCTGGGTAGCAGAACACCAGGAGAGGCTGAGAGCTGCTTTCAGTTGTGCTCGTGAGAGGCTTCTGGTGGCTGCAAACCGCAGGAAGGAGCGGCATGATCTACATGTGCGGGACACACCACTGGTGGTGGGTCAGCATGTCTATGTGAGGGACCATAGTGCCAGAGGGCGAAACAAGATCCAAGATCTTTGGAGCCCAGTGGTCCATCAGGTTGTGCGTGTCCCACCTGGACAGGGTGTAGTTTACTCAGTGGCCCCCGGTAGATGATTTGGGTAGAGCTAGGAACTTGCATCGTGACATGCTGAAACCAGTGGTGAAACCTGCAGAGGTGGCACATCTGGCGCCCCACTCCCCATCGGAACCAGAAGTGTGACCCCTCTTGATGACTCTTCAAGTAGTGATGTGTGGCTCCTGGTTTCTGAAACTAATGGGCCAGTGGGTGCTCCCAGTGCACCACCTTGTGTTCCCCCCAGGTCTGGGCCAGATCTCGGTCAGGCTACTTTCACCGCTGTACTACCTGGTCATGAGGCGCCCCCTTTGGTTGACCCGGACCACCCAACATTGCGTCGCACCACCCGCCATGGTGCGGGCCAACATTCAAACATTTACCGGCTCCCTCGTCATACTCGGCCATTGATACGTGAACACGGTGGCGCGTCGAATCCTAGCTCTAACCTTCAGGCTGCCATCTTTCGGCCGTGGTCCTAACTGTCTATCGTCGGGACGACGATACAAAGGTGGGGGGTAGATATAGCAGTGTGGAGTGAGTCTGCCCTCCCCTTACCTGTTTCATTGAAACACCACCTCACGCACCTGCCTGCCACTAATTGCAGGGGCAGGACCTGTGGGTTGTTTTTTTTTAAGCCTGAGCCTGAGGGCGCTCACTCTTTTGCCACTCCTGCGGGAAGCAGCAGTCTCTTTGGGTCCGTGGAGTTGTGCTGGTGGGGAGCCTCACACAGTGGTTGGTGGCCCTGTTGGCACGTATGTGGGCTTGTGCGGCGTGAGCGCTGCCCTGGGAAACGCCTTCTGCTCGTTTTGGTGAGTGCGCATCATTTATCCCACACTTCCACTTGCGCGCATTTGGCACTCACGCGCTTTCCTCCTGCTCCAGTGTGGCCAGCTCCTCCAGTGTGGCAAACCTTAGTGAAGGGCCTGTGTGAGCCCGTTGTGCTTCTCAGACGTTACTTGTGGGTAAGCATGGTGCCATCTTCCCTCTGACCCATTTGGCTGTCCCCAGTCACCCTAACAGCTCATTTTAATTTAGTTGGTGCTAAATTACGCACAGCGGAGGTTGAGAGCGCGCCTCCGTTCGGGGTCTGGGGGACCGGTGCTTTCTCTGATTGGTGAGTTGCCGTTATTGCCTGATGTATACTCAAATTCTAATCTTTAGTGGTCTAACCCCAGCTTCCCTGCACTTCAGCGGGACCGAGCTGCACCTCCCGCGGCAGTTTGGAGACTGCCAATCATCACAAGTACACAAATTCTGAGCCCCGTTTCCACCGGCGCAGCTCCTCCTGCCTCCACTGCTCTGGATTGACCCCACAGGCCAGAGTCGCTCCAGTTGTGGACACTGATCATCAATATTAGGCCCACAGAGCACCTGGACACCCAAACTGTAAATTTGTACATTTTAACTGTAATTGAGATTAGGATTGTTTAATCTTTTTTTTCTTTGTCCTTTGCATGTGTGTGTGTGTGTGTGCATGTGTTTTTTTGTGTTTGGCTTTTGGCAATTACCATTATTAATCAAATGTTCCTAACTTAAAAATGTTTTAATGAAAATAAATTTTGTACTTTTGTAGTCAAGTTTTGGTTTTGTCTCTGCCCCCATCACTTTAAAAAGGGAAGCGAACCTGTGTCTGCCTTGTGCAGGGTCCTAGGCCTATCCTAGGTGGCGTTGTTGACAATAGCAACATTTTTAACCTGTACTTTTAACCCTCGTTATGTCACACTAGTTTAGTGAAACTCCATGGAGGCAAGTGTCAAAAACCCACCATTAAAGTGACATAGTGCATCTTAGATAAAGCCTGAGGTCATTGCTCTAAACTGTGTCTGGTAAAAAAGAAATAACACCATTTAGTTTAAAAGTAGGTTAATGAGGCACCTATTCCCCACTGGTCAGTAGCAAACTTGATCATGCTAATTAGTTAGAAAAGTCTTCAATCATTGATGAAATAATGCAAAAATCTCAGAGAAAAGATTTGGACAAATGCATCGGGTATTTTTGGGCAACTATTTTCCCCTCCTTTTCATCACAGTTTAGGCAGCACACATTGTTTAATGTATTATTGATAATTATGGTTAACAGCATCTTCAAACAACACAATCGGTTGTTTGTATGTGTTGTAAATCACTCAATTAAATGTTTTTACAACTGTTTTTACAATATTTTTACAACTGTTAGCTGGTTGTTTTGCCTAGGCTATAGGCAATTATGAATCTTTCACGTTTATTGTCATCTCTTTTGGTGTAATTAAACTTATTCTATGGGGGCAGCAAAAGCATTCAAATTGATCATGTATCTACTGTAGCTTATACTGCTTGCTATACTTTCCTGCACAAAAACATTCTGTCATGATATTAAATGAAAAATGTATTTAAAAAAGATGAGTAAAATTACTGAACTGAGAGTTTGACCTGGCTTGAATATCAAAGTGAATACCCAAATCCTCAGAACTATTCTTCTTTTTGCCGTTTTCCAATAGAAATCCTTATGAATTAAATAAAAGTAATTAGTTGGTTAATAAAAATTTTGGTTGACAATCAGATTGATCAATTAAACAGCCACAAACGGCCTACTACTTTCTTCATTTCAGTCAAGGAAAATATTATGGTTTTTTTCAACAGCAATTAGCAAAGTATTTATGTTCTTCAGATTTTCACGTAATAATTAAAAGACTTTCATTAAAACGTAACCCTCACACGTTTTATTCTTGTTTTAACTGCTTGTTTTTCTTGTTTTAATGGATTTTTTTTCTCATGAGCGATTAAACGATAAGGTTGCTGTGAGCGGCTGTATGCATAATGTAGCCCTAAACGCCAATTTGTCACTAATGCTAAGTATGCCTAATTTAAACAAGCACACCAAACTCTTTTAGCTCATCTTGGGACCTACGCCGCCCTGAGATGGCTGTGGTGAGATTGTACACAGATCTGCTCCAGTTCTTTTAGATTGATAAGTAGGGCACACACGGCCACAGTCAGATGTATGTGTTGAAGTTAAAGGTCATATCTGCGGTCGCTGCTCCTGTCCCCTGTCATACAGACGATGGAGATAGATGGAGATAGGTTTCACTTCTTCTCTTTTGTTGTCAAAGTCACACACAAAACTAGGACACGCCTGCTCACTTTTAAGGTTAAAGATTCCACATGGATGAAAGAAAGAAAGTCAATGCTCCAGACACTCATGAAACGTTTAAAATATATTTTGGGATCAGTTTGCTCCAAAATGGTTCAAAGATTGTTTACAGACAACCTACTTTTATCACTATTTATATGTCACGAGTCAATAGTTTGAAGATGGGAGATAGTAGTAGCTCATTTATTCCAACTTTTTCCCCCACAGCATTCTCCAACTTTTCTTTGATGATGTATGAAAAGACATGATCAATATTTATATATAAAGGACACATTTTGTTTTTAAATTTTGGTTATATAAAATACTGTATGCATAGATTTGTCATGTACTTTTTATTTTTATTTTTATTGACAACTACAGTGGCAAACAAATCAAGCCGTATTAGTTGTATTTGGTTTCTTCCCACTTGAATATGTAACAAGTTTAGAGTTTTGTTGCAGCAGATAATAACTGTGCTCTCATCTTGAAATTAATGAAGCTAGTGACAGGTAGAAGCCAGTTTGTCTGCTCAGAGCTGTGGGCTGTCACATTTACGTTCATCTGCTGAAATGTTGTTGTTTCGCTGCAAATATCCGGTGACTGAATGTGGTGGTGCTGCTGTCCACGGCTCCAACTGCTCTCGTGTCTCCACTCTTTCCAAAATGAAGGTGGTTTTGTCAAGTGCCTCCTTAATGTTTGTTTTGGGAGAATAATTGAAGCCGTTCAGAATGCTGTTTGTTTATTCCCCTACACGTGTAATTACTAACTGTATTTTCCCGAATGCTGTTGGACCTCTCACTTTTGTCCTAAGTTTTAAGATGTCTGTATGCATTCATGTTTCTCGTCTGGTTTTACTGGTAGAACTACAATATTATTTGATGGGTGTTGGGTTTAGTCTATTGACACGGTTTTAGCCAATGAACTTGGGTTAGGGTTCATTTTTGGATCAGTTGGCAAATCCAAAATCTGATCCAAGTATTGCACTCATATCCAATCCGATCCACTTCATGTATATAGCACATTTCATAACTGCACAATAAAATGGAAGTTAAAACAAATCCATGGTAAAACAGTAAAAAACCGTGTGTGCATATATGTATAGATATAAAAAAAAAAAACAATAACACAAAAAATGAAATAAAATAAAAGGACCATAAAACTCATGCAGTGTTAAAAGCCAAAGCATAAAAATGGGTCTTAAGATGAGACTTAAAACACTCAGAGGGAGCAAATGTTTTTAATATTTATGGTAAACATGAATATAAGTGTCAAAAGCATGGCTCTTTTTAGATACTTGTTATTTGGGTTAGGGTTTTCTGCTTTTATAATATAAATTGAGAAGTATTGTGATTTGGACGACATTTTCAGAAAACCTGTACACCTTTTGGAGAGGATCACTGTCTGGATGAAGTTTTTAAGGAATATGTTTCTGTTTTCTCTGTCGCTCCTGGTCCTTCTTCAGAGCGAGCAATCAGACAGAGAGCAGAGGTCAGGCAATCAGAGGAAGTGAAATAACAATAGCCTGATATGAACTCTGTTAATTTGGGTTCTTTACCAAACCAAATGCATCACAACAGCATTGTGGGTTGTGAGTTTGTGTTGAGACTGTTCGGTGCAGCTTGCGTTTCAATATTAACATGTGTTTCTTTTTCATCCCAGTGGGTAAATGGGACCAATGTGACTCCCCCACAAAACATCCAAATGTATCCATAAGTTATGAAGAGAAAGTATACCTGTAATATCCAGAACACCAGGTTTTTTGGGGGGTTTTTTCAATCAGAATCAAGCTTTCTTGATGACCAATTCTTTCATTGGTAAATTGGTTGGTAAAAGGTTCTCTGAGACCACTGCTGTGATTTTGGGTTGCACAAAATTAAATTAGATTTCCAGTGCACAGGTGTGTTTTGACAATGTTTTTGTGTTTACAGTTTTTTAGGGTGATCAGTTTTCTGTTTTACATTCTTTCTTTTTTTTGCAGTTTTGATCGGTTCATTTTCTCCGCAAGTAGCTTCTTACACACATTACAGAAATAGCAAAAAATAGCTTCTAACTCATGCAGAAACTTGGACCACCTGAGGAGAACGCATCATTACACCTGTGTTACCATGGGAACTGTCAACGTGATTGACTAATTCAACATGAAATACAGCTTTCCTATTGTGCTGAGTGTAAAAGTAAGCTTGTGACTTTTTAGTGGGTTGTAAATCGTACAACACAATCAGGCTTTATTCTGTTTTTGATTGCTACATACCTGATGACTGATGAAATTGTACTGGCCATTATCCATCAAGAGCTTTCATGCCTATTATTCATGCACTATGTGTCAGTGACTTTGTGTCTTTTGACCATTTAATGTCTGTAATGAGTCATATGCCACAGGTATTCAGTCTTTGAGCCCTCAGTTGAATAAGCTGCCATAAGCTGCCATAAGCTTAGTGAAGTAAGTATGATCAGAGCAATGGTTGTAACACAGCTTTAAGAGTGTTTGATGCATCATTAATTGTTTTTACTTACATAGACTGTTCATTCTGCTTTGTAGGTTCTCATAGTGTTGTCCAACTAGACCATCGTTTTCGGACTGGTGAATCACATTAGCAAGAGCCCTGGAAAAGTCAGCAATAAGTCATAGATGGCACAAGATTGATGCAAACACAGACTTGTGTAAAGCAGTGCTTCCCAAAGTGGGTCCGGGGCCCACTTCGAGTTATTCAAAAGAAAACATTATATTTTATTCAGAATGGAGAGTAGGGGGGCAGAGGATTTTTGACCAAACGGGTCTTCAGTGTTTGGGAACGGATGTTAGAGTAAAGTCAAATTCCTCGGCTACATAACTCTCATTCTGTCAACAATTCTTCAGTTTATTACTCGTGCCTGCACCATTGACAGCTCCTTTCAGACTGATATTTATCTGGCATTATTAAAACACAATAAGTTCTGCGCCTTATACCTGGACATGTTGTCTCGGTTCGGCCGGTGCGTCTTCTCTAGACCCAGTTTGGTGAATATCCCAATGAGTGCCATGATGGCCACCACTCCGCAGATCACATACACTATCAGGTTAGTTTTATCCTTGGACGCGTCCAGAGCCACGTCCACCTTTGGCGGGGGCCGTCCTGTCATCATCCACGGCGGGGTGTCATAGTTCTTACAGGTGGTTTGATCCAGGCGTGAGCTTTTGAACGCGCAGCAGAAGCGGAATCCACAGGTGCCACAACAGTACAAGTAGTTTCCCGTCCTGCACACGAACGGCGGGTCCCACTGACCCATCACATCGTAGTAACCGCGGCATTTATCCTCAGTGTGGGGACTCTCCGAAGCGTCGATCTCTGCGGAATCGTTATACCCGTGGAAGTCATCTTCCATGTGACCATGCTCGCCCTCTGCATCACACACCATGACTTTGACCAGACAGTGCACGAGCAACAGCTCCGCCACGCGCATCATATCTGTTTATCCAGCTGTGGAACACTGGAGCCGTGCGTAAATGGACCGCGTCCTCGTCTCCGTTTCCATGCGTAAAGGTACTTGCCACTTTTCCTCGGAGAATGTTGCGCAACTCTGCAGCGCGCGTAAAGAAACGCGCTCCTGTGGAGAGGACGCCAGACGCACAGATCACACAACAGCACTTATGATGGAACAGAGAGAGAGGAGGGAGCGCAGATAACCCAGCCCTAATTACAGACTTGGATCTGTCATGATACGGACACATGCACCAGGCTGCAGCAAACTTCAAGATGCTGTTGCAACTCTGATAACCAAACAGTAAACGGTCATATTCATAGCAACGTGTTTGTTTATTATGTAAGCATTCATTTTACATTTGTAAATAAATGCAAAGGACTACACAATTTTCTTCTTACAAGTCCTAGTAGCAGCATCACTACCCATTTTGTTTTTATTTATTTTTAGGAAAAGCCTTTTTGAGTCATTAGCTTATTTACAATTTGCATGTTTTTAAAAACAATGCATTTTCTTATATAACCAGCTGATGCATGGCCTCAGAGGGAGAATGTCACTTTAAACTCTATTGTTGGAGTTTGACAGGGATGACAGCCTTTGAGGAAAGATTTTTATTTGCTCTTATTTGATGTTCTCACTCAGCCATGTTCGGGCAAAATGACATCTCTACAAAGTGTTGATGGGTTATAGTGCATGTGGAATACAAATATCCTCACCTTAGTGTTATTTTCTCAGGAAATAAAAAAATATCAAACTGACAGAAAGGGTCTAACTAAAGTATAACGACCAATTTTCATTGTAATGCAACCTACGAAGATAAGTAAACTCGTTTGATTGTTTCGAATGGACATGTTTAAAGGTCACTTTTGATTACATTTATTGACTACATTGATTTTGACTTATTTTTACAAAATTCCCTATTATTTGTACAAACATCTTTGAAGTGTTCATTAGAATCTCTGGCACATGTGGTTTGGTGTTAATTAAACATTGACTTTTCAGAAAGCCCTGATTAATAATGGCATTGAATGAAATGATCCCTGCTGATATCTGAGTGGTCTGCAGGTGCATCACGACCAGTGGGTTTTGGCTCAAATCACAATACAGCAGTATGTTAGTTTGGGAAGGGGAGCAGGTGGCCAAAAGGAGTGCTGTAATTCTGCTGTTCCAGAGAGCCTAATTAACTGTTCACACAAAGGAAAGAGTTTTCTGAAACTAACATGTGCAATGGTTACAGTTCTTTCAGTCCATTTAGGAAAAAGCTATTAATTGGGCTTTGTGTTGTTTAGAGGTACGCTGAGTATAGTTTTATCTGTTAGGAAAAAAGCACAAATTATGTAATCTATGTAAAACTCACTACAGAAAGTAAACAGTTATTCATCTGACTTTAAAGCTGCTCTACCTAACTTTGAAACGACAAAAAAAATAGTAATGAGATCTATGTTTTTCTAGTTTTCACATGACTGTAATTTGGCTTCTGCATGAATTACTGCTTTAGATCAGCTTTTTCAATCAGTGAACATACCAGCCCTTTCTCAGCCAGAGGGCATGTGGGCCCCCTAGTGGACATCAAACTTTAACTTCAGTACCCACTGAGAGACAGAAAATTTGATCAAGAAAACAACCACACCATTTATTTTACCATAAATATTCAAATAAACCACAATACAGTCTGAAATACAATCGATTTTCGTCTAGTTTTGTTTCAATCCAAGTTGGCCTCATTTTGTTCATAGAATTAAAGAAAGATCATGTCAAACTCATAAAATAAAAGTAATTGATGATTGTAATGATTATACAAAGTCAAATATACAAACAATAAGTTATAAAACTTTCCACAAACGCTTCATTCTTGGTTTTCATGTTTTTTTTTTAAATCTCAAACAGTATACTTTCTTTACTGTTATTGTTAAAGAAGGAGAAGCACAGGGACTGACCTCCAGCTGGTGCCCATAGTCAGAGCTAAACATGGGGAGGCAGCATTTCACATTTTTGCAGCTAACATATGGAACAGTCTTCTTGAGAATTTGAGACAGGCTTCTTGTTTGACAAAATGTTCAAATCCAGGTTAAAAACTGGTCTGTTCAGCTCTGCATTCAACTGTGGTTTTATATCTTTACTCTTTATATCTGTATTGTTTCTGTCTTGTTTGTTCCGCACTTTGAGTTGCCTTGTGTATGAACTGTGCTTTACAAATAAACTTGCCTTGCCATTGTCCAAAAAAACGATATGCAATCTTTGTAAATGGAACCGTCTGCCTGATGATTAAGAGATTAAGAGAGATGAAACTGCAGACTCACATGTTGAAACGGTATTATCCTACCCCCTCACTGTCTTTTTTTGGTTTTTGCTACACTGTTCTTGTGAAGCAGTTCTGGATTAAATTTGCCGTATAAATAAAATGTCCTGTCCTTCATCATCATGATCATGCATTTCTCGGCAAAGAACCGTAATATTTAAGAGAATAGCTCTTTTGTCGGGTCAACTTTCACATAAAAATGGGTCCAAGAAAAAGGTATTTAGTATTCTCTTGCCGTTTGTTGAAAACTTTGACCATAGTACAGAGTCTAAAATTAAAACACTGCAGTTGAACAATACCTCAGATCAACTCTTGCAACTGATGCTATTTATTGCCACTTAATCTGTGAAGGATGCAGAACGCTCCTGACAGTACACCATTCTTGCAGCTGTCATGCTTTGCGGCTTCATCGTCAACTCCTTTCACTAATATAGAATGACTGCACAATATCGGCCAATGAGACGAGCCGACACACTTTCTCGTGACTATACATAGATTAGAGGGACCGGCTTTTGGCTTCTCAAAAGAGTCATTTGTAGACACAAGTAGGACACCCCTCTCCTCTCCACAGTCCATAGTTTTTCAATCAGGACTGCGTGCGACTGGCCAGTGACATTTTCGTCCACAATCGCGAGACAGAGACGTTGTCATGGTAACAGGAAAAATAGCCAGTGTGATGGAGAGCGGGTCGAAGCTGATAAAGCGCTAACTGTGAGGTTTTGACAGATTAAAGAGGGATTTTCCAAGAAGCGTTCGGGTCACAACTGTATCAGACTTGTAATTAGCTAGGTTTTGAATATGTGCTTGTCAAAGTGTTCATATAAGTTGCATAGCAAAATCCGGTTTGTAAATTAAGTTGAGGAAGTTTGTGATGGGAAAAGCTGTTTCCAAAGTACAGTAGCAAGGATGTTTTGAAGTATCCACTCAAAAAGATCTGCATGAGACGTCTTTTGTCACATAATTTTGCAAGACAACTTCAACACATTTTAGAAAGGAAGTACAACTCTTTAAAAGCATGTGACTTCAGCCAATTGCCATAAAACCTTTAACATTTACAAGAATGGCCGTTAACAAAGTGCTTTTCTGACTGTGTCTCTAAACTGTTCTGTCTTTTTGAAAGTGGAAGTCTCACCAGAAACAGTTGAACTTGAGGTCGCCTGTCATGTGGCGCCAACAGTGCCCACCTGGTGCCTGTGTCTCGAAGACAAAAATAACAAAGGAACTCTTGATATGCTGAGAGAGTGAGATATTGGGAAATACATTCATTATGAAAACTATTGTTAGTACATGTTGTAGTTGTTTTTTTAATATACTTTATTGTGTCATCTTCATTAGTTCACTCTTTTTTCATAATACATACAGATTAACAAGACACATTTTAATGTATTTTTTCCTCCCCCCTCCTCACTATGCTCCCCTTGTGTCAAGAAATGTTGTAGTTGTTGAATTGATTTGAACATTTCTAAAATAAGAAAATTATTTTGAGGTGTTCCGGCACATCCCACCGGGAGGAGACCCCTGGGGAGAGCTAGGACACGCTGGAGGGACTATGTCTCTCAGCTGGCCTGGGAACGCCTTGGGGTCCCCCCGGATGAGCTGGAGCAAGTGTGTGTGGATAGGGCAGTCTAGGCATCTCTGCTCAGACTGCTACCCCCGCGACCCGGCAACGGATGAAGCGTAAGAAAATGGATGTATGGATGGAATTTCCTCTCATGAATGTCTTTCTTTCATCTAATTTACAGAAGTTCTACTTGTATTTGAACATGTGTCTAAACCCCATGTTATATACGCAGTCACCCTAAACAACATTTTACAACATTTTTTTTATTTTACAGGAAGTATTCAGAAAATGCAAAGACACTCCAGCTGTTTAATTGTTCACTAATGGTAGTATTCTCTAGCAGTCAAAGTTGATGCGTGAATGACGAGTCGAGGTGTTGAACATTTACTCCACACGATGCCTTTTAACGCCTGTATCTCTGGCACGGTTCATAAAATGTCTTTTCAAGAGTTAGATCTGCAGGTGGTTATTTTCAGATGTCATTGGCTATTCACCTTGTCTTTCAGAAAACCCTTGCTGGAGGCAATGCATTATGTGAGACCCAGATATGAGGTTCTGAAGAAGGGGGGGTGTAACGCTCTCGTTGCTGGGAACATTAGCCGCTTGAAGGGCCAAAGACTGTAGACCTGCCATTTCACAGCCAAAACGGGCTGCAGGGCTGGCACTCTTCCCAGGGATTTCTGACTGGAGTGAAGCTGCTGTCGGAGTCCAGCGTGTTCCCAGGTGAGGCAGCCCACTAAACGCCCATTATGTTCAATTTTGCACAGATTTTGTAGGCTATTTTTGGATGTAAAAGAAGCAAAGTACTTGTAAATATGGGCATTATTAGATCCTGGTAGTGGCAGCTACATAGAGGCTCACATTTCTGGGAAAAAGATAATACATTTACAGTCTGAATAAGATTGATTGTAAATAAAATAAGAAATGTAACAGTAAATATACAATTTCTTCAATAAAACATTAAGCCCTGGAGATCTCCAACTCACATGTTGTATTTTTACTACTACTAATAGAGAAAACAGAAATGCTTTGAGAGAAAATATACTATTTACCCGCCTCTCCAGGTGGGTAAAAGAGTATCTTGTGGTCTTGTTCATTAGCTTGAGATTGACAGACGGATCGATG